AGAAAAAAAAATGTAATAAATCAATTGCTATCTTTGTACTTTAGTATACGTTCGGGGTGTTATAAAAATAAACGACTGTTGGCGTTAGGTTAGGTTAACACCCCAGACGACGAAGACGTAATTATTATTACCTACCTATTTAAGACAATTAATTGTGTCTTATTTGTGTACCGTATTGTGCCAGTTATTGTATACCTGTCATTTTTTACTCATGTGTATTTTTTACTTCAGGAACCCGAGTTCACCCCCCTCCCTCAAGTTTGGGTCCCCCAATCGGTTGGGTAGAACTGTCCAAATAGATTGCCACCCGTATTAAATATATAAATACTAGCTGACCCTGTGCACTTCGTCGCCCTGCAAAAAATCAAATTGCATTGGAAATAGCAATCGACGTATAATCGAACGTAGTTAAAATTACGCTCTCTACGTTTTCCTGATATCTTCAAGGACGATTTAAATTTTTCACAAAATTGGTTAAGTAGTTTTTGAGTACCTATACAGTCGATAGAAATACATTGGACTTTCATATTCGTTTTAAGAAATGATTTGTTTATTCGAAACCATAAAGGCGACGATTTAATGCAAGCATGTCAAACTCGTGGCCCTCTGCTTCTTGTTAAGACCCACACGGATAACAACTATAATGAGCAATTAGTTGAAGAAAAAAATCATAAGATTTGAGTTTCGTGTCACAACTATGTTAGCTAGTGAGAGGTAATCTTAATATTTTTTATCTTTTGATAAACTGTTATCGAACAAGTATTGTATACAGTTAAAAATGTGTACAAAATTTTTTTTTGATAAATTTTGTATTTGTGGCCCGCACAGTAAATTATTAGATATATTGCTTGGTCCAGTTAATAATTTGAGTTTGACATACTTGATCTAATGCATGCGTTTACCTCATCTGCCTGAGTAATCAATTGCAACAAGTACCAATTTCGTACTAATTACCTACTATAATCTGTAATCTGTAATCAATATCAACCATTTATAAACCAAAATGTTCATCGTAAATCTCAAAATCGTTTCTTAATTGTTCAACGAAAAAAATTAACTGTTGGCTATGACCGAGATAATATACAATATTATATTTTAAGTTAAGCCAAAACACACACATTGAGTACGATCTCGTCAAAATCGGTTGAGTAGTCTTGGAGTGCATTGCAGAATACCTACGTGGCAATATTTCATTTAAATCTGAGATTTGTGTAAGCGAATCTTCAGGATGTGAGGATCTGCCGAGGGAATCGAATTTAAAATCACAGGTGTCCATAATATGACTTCCCTATTTTTTTTGGTGTGACTTAATTTGCCAAATATAATAATTTAAAAAAAAAAAACCACTTTATAAGAAACACTGTAAGTTGAGATCGTCAATATTTGGCGATTGCCGACGACGAGGTACGAATATTGTATTGTTCCATTTCTTATTTTTCAAATAATGAACGATCGTTATACTACGTTGTGGTCACGAACATTGTGACATATTTTCATACTTATTGCGTTTTTGAAATGTTTAAATACATACGTTGGTATGACGTGAACGAACAACAATAATAAAACTCTGGTGAAATCTTAGAAAAAAAACCTCATTTCCAACAAAATCCTCGGTACAATATTTCTGCAGTCGATAAAATAACAATACGTATCGCACTGTGAGTGTAGTAACTAAAAATTGATGATTGTAAAGTTTTTTATTTCTCAAATCACTGATAAATGAAAAAGTGCCAATTATTTAATATAAAAAATATTAGTATTGTATTATTGAAAGTGTGTAGAACAAATGTAGATAAGAAAATCGGGCATACGTGGCTTGAACATTGCTTCCTCGTGAAACGTGAAGAACCTATCCAATGTACCACCTGCGGAAAAGCTCCAACTGTCAAACACGTCCTTCTACGTAATGCAGCCATCAGAAAATTCCAACAAAATCTTAAATTTTCTAAAAACAGCTAAACTCGTTTAACCTCATATTATAATGTTATAAGTCTTTTTTGCTGTTTTTTTTTCTACATTGTACATTCTAAGATTAATCATATTTTAATATTGTAAAATTATATATAGTATCTGAATGTAATAGTAATATTGTGAAAATGTAAGCTACGTAACCTTAGTTGTTTAGTCTTTAAAGTGATAAAAAAAAATGAAGGTAAGTAAATACCAAGTTAAATACTATTAATACATTTTTTTCATTAATAAAATATCTTTGTTACCTACGTATAATACTATTATTTTGAGATTATTCACTATAATTCGACATTATCTTAAAACATACATTTGAGCATTACAGTAGGTGCCTATACTGACCCAAAATAATTCACTAATACATGAATGGAATTTATCAATTTCTTTTAATGTCATACTATGTATCATAATATAGTTTAACTCATTCAATTATGCTAGCCCGACACTGTCTTGAGCATTGTAAATAATGATATTTTTGCCATAATAAAACATTATTTATGGGCTCAAAATTGTACATTTTCGAGATACTATACCGATGTACTCAAAGTGCGATGTTTTTAAACATGATAGTAAAATATAATAGTATACTAAATCGTGTAGTATCGCGCATATTAATCTTATTGAACAAAAAATTAAATATTAGAAACCCACTGCGACGTTTCCTACGATTACCGTGCAGACTCCTCTTAAAAGTAACCATGCCGTCGATTTTTGTATGTAATTTAAAACGCTTACAATTATTATTATTCCCACGCCTTTGAGCTCGATAATAATTTTTATTTTGACTTTTGACTTTTGGTACTCTCGACATTTACAATATATTTTTATGCATTTGCTACGAACTGATATTAAATTACATATTATTATTACGTTATCAGTTCTGATTTTGCAGAACAAAAATATATCATAATAATAATAATAAAAATGAGCGTTATTTGTGGGTCACCTGCAGGTTAGGGTTTTTGTTTCGAATATGAAAAACAATTATTATATATTGTTATACTGAACAAACATGTAAAAATAAACACGAGCTATACAGACGCACGGACAAAGAAGTCTTATTATTGTGCGATGCTAGAAAATGATTGATTTTTACGAGTCGTAAAAAAACAATGTTACGTTTAAATTAAATTTAAATTGTAACGATAAAAACAAATACGCCAACAAAGCAATATATTATTATAGAGCTCAAAAAAAGTTATTCTTTCAGTTGTTTTCATCGTATATTACAATATTATTTTTGTTAGACAAGTTAATCTAAATAACACTGTATCTAACCGACTCAAACATTATTATTATTATTTATTATTATTATTATTTGTACACACAATTCTGTAGACGATCGTGTTTTCTCTGCAAATTCAATACTTCATAAAATTTTTTGAAGTTATTATATTGCAATGATTAATATTTATCTAATTTTCGTTTATCAATTTTTACTCGCCAAAAAATTATTACCAAGTTCAGATGAACTACTGCATCTGAGAACGTAAAGTGTAATTTATTTTTTCCTGTGCAATAAATACGATGCAAACTTCAGTTTACAAAGTAAGCAATAATATAATTCATAATATATTATAAATATAATAATATGTAAAATGTAGATGGTGATTAAAAAAAATCTGTTTAGCGTGGACATAAAGTTAAGAGTTTGGTAGAAAATTGTTTGGTATTCTGATCGACTAGATCAGAGGTAAGAAACACTCAGCACTTGTTGCAATATTTCACTTGGCATGTGAGTAAAATGAATGGACTGTTTAAAAACCACTAACTAAGATGTGTGGACTGGAAACGTCGGATCAAAACATTTGTGTTTGTAAGTACCTTGTTAAATATTAATACACCAAACTGCAGTTACGAACTTAAAAAATAAGCTAAATTCGATGTTACATTTTATCCTTCGTATATACTATGCAGTTGTAATTCGTCGTTGATGAAAACGACACAATGTGTCTTTCAGGAAAAACATAAAACTGATACCGGGTATCAATGATACATTGATATTGGATAATATTATGCGAGAAAATGTTTATAGTCCCCTCGGGATTTTGTGTATTATACGTGGTATTTTCATTAAATCATGTCTGGATGTCAGGAATCAGCATTCGATGGCATGGTGTCAAGTGTGTGTGTTGGGGGGGGGGGGCATGCGTGGAATCAGCATTCGTTTTCTGGCTGGTCTGCGGAGTCACTGAGCTGTAAATACGAAACGTCCGAAAGGACCGATAGACTTGTCGCGCTACAAGGACAGAGCAATATCGATCCCGTTTACTTTACTCTCTGAATTATAAAAAAAAAAAAAACAATACTTGGATTCATTATCACTGAGAATTTTATTTTTATTGATACGATACCAAAGAAAATGATAATACATCTAATTGAATCAAAACGGTGGTCTCCGGTTTTTCAGTGCACGGATCACTATAATATAAGTAGGTGTAGGTACAAACTTGCGTTCCACGTTTACAGTTCGGTGAACAATGGTAAATGGCGGTGAGACGCATACATTATCATCAACTTCTTCGTTGAATTACAGCAGTTCAAGTACATTCTAAATAAACACATAATTCTTAACAATATTATTATTGTTCAGTGCGAACAGACGTGTTTGAAGTTGTAACGTTTTCGCGACCAATATTGTAGAGTGCATATCATACATATTTTTTATGTAAGACTGCATTCACATTTCGATTTAGTTGCATTGCACGGAAACCACCACAACAAGTAAACTAATATATTTTACGGCGTAATGCAACAGAATAAACGACTTCTCAAAAAGTAGAGTACTTGAGCGTTTAAATTCTTTATACGTTTTGAATAGTATTAAATGACTTACATACAGTATTGACGGTGTACGTTTTAAATAAACTTTTCACAAAACTGTTCATTTTGAACTGTGTTTTAAAAACGCAATTTTTTCGGTCGCACTATTATACGGCAATACGTTATATTATAGCTGTCGAATTCACAACATTGCTACCTATATTTTAGGCACCTTTGTCGGGGTGCTGAATGAAGAAATAAACAAAAAATTTAAATGTCGGGAAAATCGTGGTTTATTTTGCAGTGGCAATACGTTAATTATAATATACATTTATTTACTACATATTATTATAATTTGCGTATTGTTTGGGCTATGGCATTTTTGAGTTTGAGATCGATGGACTACATGAATTAACAGTTCTGAAACAAAACAAACATACAAGTCGATAAGTAAAAGCATATATTATTATCATCGTATGTGATGCGATGAAACACAACCATAGTATAAAATTATATTTTATTTGTTGCAGTAAAATTTAGCTTTACAAGTCTAGTGAGTATTTCCAGTTAAAATTAAAAATGAATTATTTTTAATGGCAATAATCTCATCATTTGTTAGTTCGTTGACCTATATTTGGTTTCTCAACTGTTGGCTTTGATTGCCATAATTAATGGTGTATACAAGTAAATGAAATAAAAAATGCTCTACCCTTATATTACAAGCAAATTTAATACACGGGTCGTATAAAGAAAAACAATTTTTATTTAAAAAACTATGATGGGTGATAATTAATATAGTTTTGATAAATGGGGAATAACGTACGTAATTGCTTAAAAAAAAAAAACTATTCGATAGCGGAACTATCAGGATAAATTGAGATAATATACCTATTGTATTTTTAATTATATTAATATAATATTATATATATTATAATATATATTTATATAATATTTTAATATCATGCAACATAAGTCTTGGCAAGTTAATGATAATTTGAGTTAAGTTGAAAGAAAACATTTTAAAAAGTTTAAAGTTAATAGTTATCCCAATTTTTTTTTTCAATTCAATAAAGTTATATGAAAATATACCCAATTTAAGTTATTGTTAATTTTTTTTATACCCAGGCTCCAGTATAAGTATATTACAAGTTTTTATTTTTTAATTATAATAAAAACAATACATTTTGTATATGTTTATGATGCACGTAATATAAAAATGAATCGTACTAATTATTTGATATATATTATTCTTTGCAAAGTATAGAATAGATTTAACGATCGATCTATGCATACACACAAAATTGTTATCACAAAATCGAAACACAATAACAATACGAATTGGAAAAAAATACCAGCTCACCACAATTATTCGAAATCAAAAAATCACAAAATCATTAACTCACCATCAATTGGCTGGTGGCTGGGGTGGCCTTGGCGACGGTCTTGATGGCCTTGGCAGATTGGACTTGTCCGACGACAACGATGTTCATGGATACCTTTTCAGCGCCCATTTTTGGTTTTTGGTTGGTTTTTGAGGAGAAATGTGGAAAACTGCAAATGAAAAAATAAATAAAAATATTTAGCGAAGTTCCATAGATGAAAAAAAGGTACCTTCCAAAGGTATACTCACCAAAGAATAGATTTGCACAAAAAGATGTGTTATGCCGGAATCGAGATCTCCGGCGTCTTATATACGCTCTGATAAGTGAGCGAAAATCGACAAAAGTGGGAGCGAACGTGGCGTGATCGTTATAAACCGTAAATAATAATATTATCGGACGATGTTTTAATGATAATAATTATAATATTATACAATGATGCAATTGTGTGTATCGTGTATGAGAAACGAGTACCCATAATGGTATTATTGTTTGTTTATTTTATTTTTTCGTCATACACCAGACGCATATTATAAACCAATTAATACAAAACGATGCATTAATAATTTATTTAAATAAAATCTGTGAATGTCGATTTATTTGTTTCGGCGAGTATATATTATTTCATGATTATTCGCCAATCGTGTCCCACGATCGTTCCTAGCGTCAATGAGATCGAACAATGTCCTTTTGACTAGATACCCACTTTTGGTTAACATTGTACCTTGTTTAAATACTAGTATTTGGAAATATTACGTGCATAAAAAATGCACGAGACACTATTTATTATCGGTATTTGATAAGTTTGTATTTAAATACTTAGAGTACCTGTTTATGGTTATTGACGGCTAAATAGACACGTTTTACGTGCAATAGTATGATCGCGTTTATCGTGCACAGCAGTTGTGTATAACGTAGTCATTTCAAGTCGATTAAGATTTTTAGCACATTTTATTGGTTGCGTATAATAATACTTTTGTAATAATAATATTGTGTAGATGATTGTCAATACCGTGTGGTCTTATGATTTAATGAGTATGAAATATTGAAAACATATTTATTTGATTTTGTGTTTTTTCAGTTTTTTGGTATGTTTCATAAAACCATCAACAGATGGTCAGACTGATTTCATATACTTGATTAGTAATTATATGAATATTCAAAGGTGGGCATTGACTTGTTAAAAAGTTAAAGTCAAGTTATAAACATCTAATTTTTTTTTAACTGTTTAACTAAACCAGTTAATTAGTTTTGTTTTGAACTTATTAAAATGTGTATAGTTTAACTAACATTTCTTATTTGATTATAGTGCAGTTACGTTAATATTAATTTTTTATATCACTTTGATGATTCAAAAAAAAGCGAAAATTTTCAATTATGTATAGATGTAAGTTTGAAATTTCTGGTAACAATGTACTATACTACTATAAGAACAATTTAGTGTCTTATGTTTACAATGTTAATCAGCGTCTTGGTAAATGTTTGAGTGAATCAAAATACTGGGGCAGTTTATAACCTTAAGAATTTTGTGGCTTGAAAAAAAAATTAACTTTTTTTAACTGACTTAAGTTAGTTTTATTTTCCATCTCAACTTGAAACTTAACGAATTTATTTTTGTCTTCATTAACTTTTAACTTAACTGAAGGCAATTCAATTGAATAACTTGACTTCTCACAGTTGATTATTTTCATTAATTTACCACCTTTGTCAATATTTGTTATTCTCGATCAAGGTGAAAAGAAGAAATATTATATACATAGAATAGGTAATTATTACGTGATTTATGTAATGTAAAATGTAAACGATATTTCTATAACCAATTCCACTTAACTATGTTTAGGTATTTACTGTACTTCCAACTACACATAGCCTTAAACTAAAATTTTATTTTTATTTTTCATAAAAGTTCCTCAAATACTTCAAAATATTTAATTTCATGAAATATTAGATCGTTGAATTACCGTGTATTTTTAGATATCTATATTTCGTCACATCAAAACACTCACCGCGTTTCAATAAATATTTTTGAAAAGTAATTTTTTTTTTTTAGATATTATACTAATAAATTGAACTACATCTTAACTATAGATATTTTTAAAATCATTATTTTTACTCACGTCTCTATTTAAATACCAACTGCAAGCATCTAATATTTAATTTTACTTTTGTCAATATTATAATGACCGAGGCCTATTACGTGCTATTATAATAATATCGATCGAAATCTATCGCATTATTGCCTTTTAAGTCTGATTCGTAGGTCAGTTCTACGTCCCAGTAGGTATACCTACTTATTTTTATGTATACACTAATTAATTGGTAATATAAAAGTCATATAATCTAATGCTTTCGTGTTACCACCAGCTGGTAAACTCGAAGTCACGTTTACGTATATTTTATGAATACATTTAGCGCCTTGATGGGTCATAATTCCGTGTTTGAAACTTTGAAATGTGACAACAGTGAACTCCATCGCATTACTATTAATTATGATTATAACCGTACACTTATCAAATTTGAAAATGTTTGTCTACTGTTTTAGTTTATTGGAGGTACTCCAAGTAATATCAAACATAAGACAGGGATGAATGATCAATTGTCAATAATGATTATGTATCGATGAACAATAATATAACTATCACACTGATAATAAAAAATATAATCAACTCGTCATTGAATACAATGGATTTATAGCTAGAGTCTGCCATAAATCGGTGGCATATAGTAAAATAGGCGATATCGAGAACCTATAGTAATCGTGTTTCATTTTTAGATTCGATATTTTCACATAGTAAAAAATCGAAAATCTTCGAAACCTTTATATTAATAAATCATGTCGTAACACAATGTTTAAAAACAATTTCAGTCGACAAGATTCTGTAGTGTTTTTGTTTGCTGTTCTTTTCTAAAAGTCTTGGAAAAATAATATTCTTTTGGCAAACATTAAACATTGCGATTAAATCGTATAATATTATGGAATAAACGACACAACGTAACTACATATTTTAATGTTTAGTTCGACGGTTACATATTTTATATGTTTCCAGCTGATCCCGATTGCCCGTTAAAAGTACCAACTCATGATTAAAAATGTGTGTTGAATTCGTCATATTTAAGTACCAGACATGATATGATGTTCGACATTTCCAGTGACAAATTCCATTGGATTTGCCCCATCTTAATTTCCGTTGAAGATTTTATTAACACAGACGTATAAAATACAGGACTACAATATTATATTCTAACTGATTTTTTTTCTCCGATTTTCAGCTTCGTTTAGGTAAATCAATTTTTAAAATCGTTACCTAAGATAACCAATTGCTTATTTTTTATTTCATCTGTACTAAATTTTTAACCGATTGCGACCCCATAATAAACGGAAGTATGTCATTATTATTTCTATAAGAAATTCTGAAAATTAGCAATAAAAAAAAAATATGGGCCACTCGTCGAAATAAAATATAACAGCTTCTAGATCCTTGGGACGATGGTGTAGATTCCCGATGGTAAAAATCGGTCGAGTAGTTCCAGAGATTACTACGAACAAACAGTTTTTCCTATTTATAAATTAGTATTGATTCCTACAACGAACTTAAACAATCGTCAACTTCAATCACACTTCAATCAAAAATATATAACTATACCGAATCATTATCATAATATTGGTATTGGCGCAATATTACTGCAAGAATATTTCTTGAAACATATCAAATTACGGGAAAAAATATTATAAATTTAAAAAAAACACAACAATTCTGCCTACATTGTTATTTGTGTCAATATTTTAATTCGTAACTCTTAGGTATAATTTAACTTAGCTATTAATATAGTACATTACACTTTTATAAAATATAACTTGACCTTGTGAGAAAGTCTATTAAAGGTAATTTAATTATTTGACGATATCGGAAAATTGTCGTTCGTGTATATTTTTTGTCCTTTTCTCGTTCCAACCTGTCGTCTACCTAAGCCAAAACTATGTCAATACACATCTTATCGTTCCCGTCGAATATTGGTATAGTTATTTTCTACGTTCGACCTTAAACTAGCTTCTATTGCAATATACCGATTATAAATTTAAGAAAAAATATACCGAATATTTTACAAACCCGTGAACGATTTCACTTCCCGGGGTTAGTTTGAAACGATTCTGACTTCAAACACTAATGCTAGTCAAGTACATCGCAAGTGTTTGCTTATATTTTGGTATTTAAACATTTTGAACTCTATTTCCTGTCAATATGTGTGTTTTCACCCAACTGGGGCGTGCATATTATTGTAAAATTTATTATTATTTAATAGGTTTACTCGCTTAATTATAGTCGAATCGACTTTGGATGTTTTTGTTTTTCTATTTTGTTAACGGTTAAAAAATATAACGACGATAACAAAACACCATTTGTCTGTTGTGCAACATAAATTCATAATAATATTTATTATTTTATCAAGTCGGATGGCGTGGCGTGATCGCAGGTGCCTCGACGTCTGTTATCGTATTGGTCGACGCCAGAGTGGTGCCACCAGCTTATTACACATGACGCACAATATTATCATAACATATTATTTTAATAGTTTTTTTTCGACACTAAGAATAATAAATTACTTGAAATTTAATTTTTCTTATCTCGCCGCGCACCCGATAATCACAATGTAATTACCGTTTTAAGCTATTGATACACTAATAATGAATAGCCATTACGTTACCGAGTTAAGTATGCATTTTCGAATATTTAACGGAATACATTATTTGGTTATAATATTATTATTATTTAATTTTATTTGGCATTGTTTAGATTCATTCGGTTAATATTGTTCTTGTTCTTGATTTGGAGAATAATCGTTAATTTCCATATTGTAGTTGCAGTGCCACAAATGGTAAAAAAAGAATAAAATAAAATAAATTGAAATTATTTTTCAACTCGTATAGCGCAATTGATAAGACGTCAAAAAAACACATATTCATTTTCCGATACTCATGTGGATAAAAAAATTAAATATTAAATAAATAGGCTCTCGCCAACTCTCGTAAAATTACAATTAAAACTTAAAATCCGTTTATAATTGTTTTTTTTTTTTACAAGGACTGCAGTCGAGAACCGACATTATAATATTTTGAATGTAAATCCTTTACAGGTACCTGTACAAAAAAAAAACATACCTACAGACATATATTATTATTATGAATTCACAGAGTACGGATTTCTAGTGTTTCGTTTATGCTTCAGTTCGTAAATGAATTCCTTATTAAAGACGAGTTTTCTAGCATTTTTTTAAAAATATTTCAAGAAAATTATTATATTTTTAAACTTCATAACACACGTACACAATCATTTTACTCAATATTTTGTATGACGGGTAGATAATTGTTTTATGATACAATTTATAGACAATCGTGATAGTTCCAATCCACTGTTCACACTAATACTGTTTTACTGAATATTATGAAATATGAAATAAATATGGTCAAAAAATATAATCATAAATTTGTTTTAACATGGGAGATATGGTTAACAATAATTAAGTACAACAATTCAAAGCAAAAATATTTAAGGTAAAATGTCAACGTTTATATTATATGCCATACGATTAAATTAATAAAATAAACGTTCATGTGATTTGAAGGTCTCGTCGAATCAAAGGAACATTAATTATTTTAGTGAACAGTCGAAATATGAAATTTCTAAGGGGATATAATTGTATGGGCCATTCGAAAATCGTAATTTTATACTCACGAGGAGCCGATGAATCAATGTTTTTTTCTGAGCAGTAATAATTTTAGCATAAAGTTTTTATTTTAAAATTTCTCGGGAAGACTGAGTTTTTAAACTTTCGTGCCAAATTCATAGTAAATAGTAATGCAATGCAGAGGATGGCACATTTTTACACAGTAAAAACACAATTACTACACAATTACACCAGCCAATAAAGTGATAGATCCTCCAAGTTAATTACATAATTATTGCATTGAAGGTGATTAAATACAGAACTGTACTTTTGATGCACCTAAGAGTTTTTACACAACAAACGTACCTGTAATAAACGTAAATCAAAATATTAAATCAATACAATATTGTATTTGAAATATAAAAACAAATAGTTTTACTCGTGGAATTGTTAAAATGAATGTCACATAATTGTCATTGCTGGGCTTAGGAATTTTATAGAATATAATTTTGACAGTGTTAATACACAAGTGCGTTCATTTTAAACAGTTTTAAAAGAAACGTTCAATTCAGAAAAATATACTGTCGAAACAGTTTAGTCGTTCGACTATAAATAATACATAAAGTATACCGTATTATGATACTGTTCTCTCGATTAAAAAGGTTCCGATGAAACAGAAAAAACAGACGAATATAAAATTAACCGACTATGTACCTATAGATAGTAACTAATAACTTTTGTCCGTACGAATAACAGAGTTTGTCGATACATAACTAACTTGATCATACAGGTGATATTATCATACAAATGTCTAAATAACTCGAATTTCTAATAATTAAGAAAACAATTTTCCGTTTCAATTGATAAGAATTAAAGTTATGGAATACCGACATAGGCGAATAGTTAAATATGATTTACATCCATCGTATACTTCTGTTAGATCATGTGTATGTCATATATCCATGCGAAGCCCGATAAATACTCGAAGTGTACAATGGTCGTGGACCAATGCATACGATATTAATCATAGTGACCGAAATAATTATTAACGACACACGAAACCGAATACGATCGGCACAGTAAAATGTAGGATTTAAAATACGAATGAATTCTTAGAAAAAAATATTCGATTCGCATAAATTCGTGTCTAACATAATAATATTGTGTACTTTAATTCGTTTATATTATAAACGGTCTGCTTATTTATATGATAGCTGGACTTATCAACTGAAATCGCAATAATTTATAATTCACATACGTACTTTAGGGAGATGTACGGAGGTGTTAATATGAGGTGAGATATTTCAAACAGCAATAACGTTCAACTTTATCCTAATTGTTGATGACCATTTTTTCCTAAAATACATTGTCGATCAAACAAAACCAAAATTAAAACTATTCAATTAAAACCCTAGGCTGCAAAATTTAAAATGTCTTCATACCAATTGTAAAATAATAACTATTATTATTATGACTATTCCACATGAATTATTATTACTATGACTCCAGGACCTTTTTAGGGGGGGTGGGTCAATGAGGACATTTTCCCTGGGTGGCCAAATATTGATCTTTTTAGGGGGGGGGGGGAGCACCGCTGTAGAACAGTGTAATATTGTGTCGATAAATATTTTTTATTTTGGAAAAATTTGTACTATGATACGGCCATAATTCGATGGCGTCATTTTTCAATCGACGATAACTGATAAGTGCTAGCATAGTATTTTAACATAACCACGGTCGTATATAGACAACCACGACGTAACCATAAAGAATTATAACTAAAACTGTGTCAAGAAAAATCAAAAAAGTGGATATAGTTTTTGGTGGAAGGGGGGGGGGGTTGGTTGCTTAAAAATATGGTTGACCCAGGGCGCAAAAATTGTTAATACGGCCCTGTATGACCAACGATTATCGTTTAGGCCACAAGCTCCTGCGTATACAATAATATCATCATGTAATATAGTACTGGTGCAGTGCACGTAACTATCTGGCGTACTATTTTTAATACCATAGTCTATTATGGTTTATACCCGGGTAGTGGTCACAGGTACCCGAGCAATATAACCAGAGTACATCGTCGAGGATATAAATTACGCTTCGGATCTTCCAGTGAAACGAAAACGTCACTGGCCGAAATCGTGCCGCACTGCGGACGCGGACGACACTTGTAGTCGTTTGTTATCGTTTACACCAGGTCGGTCGCTGATGAAATATATTTGGGATTTATCGCGAAATTGCGTACAAGTCGAAACGCGCTGCTGGTAGACAACACAAATCGAATAATGCTAGTGACTTGAAATTTCAGAAATTTAATGTCCAAACAGTATCTGAGGAGAAATTTGAAAATCTGGAAATTTCTGAAATTAATTTTTTTTTTTAACAGAGCTTACTATTTTACTTGAGATGTGTAAAAATTTGAAATATTCACTGAATTTCGAAGTATATTTCACAACATTAAAAACATAGTGCGCAAATTATATCAATATTTTTCATTTTTCATTTGTAAAGAAATACGTATTTACAATATTTGTAATATTTTCGTATATCAATCCACGGACAATAATTATATAAATATCGAATTCCCATTTTTTTATTTTTACGAATTCATAACAAATATATAGCTTTCACTCTAACTATATTTTACATTGTTATAAAATGTGTGTACCTAATTAGTTTAGAGTTAAACACTAGAGTAATTGTAATACTTTTTTCAAGAGTACCTACCTATTTTTATTTTTAGAAATATTTTTATGGTACACTTATTTGAATATTCATTACGAAGCTTTTTGAAAAAAAGTATATTCAACGTTTTTGTTTTTTACATATTCAAATGGCAAAATGTATACATTTTTAATTTCATATTACAAATATGTCGAATGTTGATAGGTATATACCATTTATGAATCAAGTTTCAAAAGCGTAGGAAGTTAATTAGTTATATAACGTCTTATAAGTTATAATATTATTCAAAGTATAGGTGTGAAGAGTGTAGAGGTACGAAAAACGTCGGTAGACGGTAGGTACACCGCTTCGCTCGCCTAAACTTTAATTAATACTTAGAAAGTTAGAAGTAACTAACTACTCGTTCGAAATTTGATTTTCAAACAAAGTAAAAAAAAAAAAATTGGCAGTAAAAGTCAATTTTTTACGACGAACTGAGTGCGTTTACCTATAAAACAGTCACCTTGCATATTACGATAATTTATTTATTATTTATACTTAAACACATAGGCAGATGATTTCCAAAATTATTTTTATTTCTAATTCACCGCGGTCGTCTTTGAAACACTTATATTCGACAGCATGGTGTGATAAAAAATATGGTTTTACAACGAAACACGAGCGTTGTCTAACGGAATAAAAATAATAATAATAATAATATCGCGATCACGCCATCGCCCCTCTCCCCGCCACTTCAAGCTGCAGGCCATCAGTAGTGTATATAAAGGAGTCCGAGATCTCGATTCCGGCATAACACATTTTTTGTGCAAATATATTCTTTGGTGAGTACGAAACGACCGAAATCGTTTTATTTCGATTTCAAATTAATAATAATTTTTTTTTTCCATTTGCAGTTTTCTCTTTTAAACCTAAAAAACCAACCAACAAATCAAAAATGGGCGCTGAAAAGGTATCCATGAACATCGTTGTCGTCGGACAAGTCCAATCTGCCAAGGCCATCAAGACCGTCGCCAAGGCCTCCCCAGCCACCAACCAATTGATGGTGAGTACACGCCATTACTGTTATTACAATTATTTCAACATTGAAATGCAGTTGAATAGCTGTTCTCGTTCAATTTGATTTCAAATATATTTCAAATAATGTTAAACACGATGAAAAGGGAATTTTATGAAGATTATTGCTAGATCATTGATATCAGTATTATATTTAAATTGTATGTTATTAAAATACGAAGACAAGAAAATAATACGAATTCATATACATTTCAACGACATATTTTTTTGATGATGGTTGTTTTTTAATCTCACATATTTTAACCGTAGGCGAGGCAATATCCGTTGACTATAATCGGTTTATTTATATCGGGTTTGATACTTCTTATATTTGAGTGTTCTGATTTGTAGTTTTTGTGTAATATTCTAGTTGAGACAAGAATTCGGTTTGTGAAATTAAGTACAAAGTTTGGCTTTGCGTATTTTTAAACATTTTCATACAAAGGCTTTCAAAGGGGAAAAAAATAAAAAATATAGGTAATAGTTATATTTTACAAAATAGTCATATCAAAACATATTATGAACAACTATTCATTATATTATGTATAAATTAAGTCTTTATTATCATATGAATACAATTTTCTTATTTGACCATTTTATAAGTAATTTTTTAATTGCAATTTATTTATCATAAACATACATATACATGTTTATGTTTATGTATATTTTATTTTCTAAAAAAAAATGTGCAATAGAAAACAATGAGTAAATATGATAATTAACAATGAATAAAAATGACATATTAAGTAAGATGGTCGGGAGAAAAGGCCCATTAGCAACACCCTCAGCTACACTTTAAAACATAATAATAAATAGTTTTTGTTTGAAATGTTTGAACGTATGAATTCGTCTTCGTAGATATCAATAGTTTAGTGTTATGAACATGTAGAACTGTATAAACTGATGTAGTATATTATGCTACAACTCATGATGAATGATTTTTATTATTAAAATATCGATTTTAATCACCGTGTTTTTTGTTTTGTTTGTTTTAGAACTGTTAATTCATGTAGTCAATCCATTTCAAACTCAAAAATGCCATAGTCCAAACAATACAATAATATGTAACTCATAATATCAGTATTGCCACCGCAAAATAAATCAGTCACATCCGATGTACATACAACAATTTGGTCTTATTTTTTAATCGTTACCTAATGTCCATACTAACGCTCTGTAATATTTTAATTACGAGATACCGTCGTATTATAATATTTATGTTGAACACTTATTATCGTTATTGTAACATGTTGATATTATGATCACGATTATCAGGTACTTAACAATATCACGAGGCAATCATGTTTTAATATTTTTTGTAGGAATATTATTGCGTATAGTAGTCATTCGCAAAGTGTTTACAGTGGTTAATATAAGTGAAATAAGAAAATTGTATTATGACAGGCCTATCGTGATGAATACGAAAACATTATTCTAATTACAAAATTAGGTTTTTTAAGATAAAATGTACTCCTTTTAACTCAGTATGATATCCGGTCAGTGTGGCATGGCTGGCCTGATTCGTAGTTTCACCTATCACGGTAATAAGTGTAATCGTTTTTGATTTGGCTATTATATATGTACGTAACTTAAATGTGTGCAGCTTACGATAAAAGACTTTGGCCGTAGATAAGCCATAGTGAGACACATACTTATAGTATTCGGTCATCGTGAAAAATGTCGATCACTCGTAGAGTGCTTTTATTTATAAAAAAAAAACGTAATATTGAAGTAGGTAATACTAGAATAATATTGCAAGATCAAGATCGATGGACTATATCTCGCTTTTAGTCTTATAGTTAGTGTTGGAATGTTGTGAAAAAAATATTCTGTATTGATTTTTGTCATAACGCCAATCATTATTTTGTTCTTTACAGGACGTTGTTTTCTATACTGAAATTGATGATTTTGAATTGAGCTTTGTTTTGAAGCTTGAAATGTGTTGAAATAACGTAACAATTTGGCACCTCACACACAGTAATTTTGGTTACTGTCAATGTTACAGAATGCTAAATATGGGTAATTCAATAAATCATTTTGATTTTTTCAATGGTGACTCAACCAGGTTAAAATCTTTAAAATCTTTGCTCTATATCACGTTGGTATTGAACTATTGACAATTAACGTATTTTATGTTGTATTATTATTAATTCATTAACTATGATTAATAATATTAGCTGATGAGTATTATGTTGTATGTAGGTACTGTACTAAACGGGAACGAAGCTTAGGTACAATACATTACGTATTTAGGTGTCCATATAAATAAAATAAAATTCAGTTTTGAACGTATTTCAATTTAAAATATTCTTGAGTGTAAGTATGAGTGATATGTTGACTAATGTTATAATATTTATGTTTGAATGTTTAATATACAAGTTTATAATTCTTTTTAAAAAATATAAATCATTTCTGTTCTTTGAAATTTTGCGCTATGGCATCATATGATACCGTACGACAAAAAAAGGTTAAAAAATTGAAAAAAAAAAAATTTTAATATTTTTCCCAACACCTAGAAACAGCAATAGTTATATGATACCGAATTTTAATATTTTATTTTTATGAAAAAAAATCTGGTGCATGAAGAATTTAAATTGACAATATCCTGGTGTATTTACACAGATACTTCTCTCTTAACAGTAAATTTAATCTATATAATTGTTTTCATATAGATAGTAGGTATTGTAATTTTGCAATGAAAGCGTTAAGAACGAACACGACAAACATGAAACAAATGAAAAGAAAATTCGTATTATTGCAAATTGGTTTGTTAAGAGTTACTATTGTTAATATTTGAAACGTTTACGTGTAATGTTATATTTTATTAGTTCTTACATTGAGTGATCAATTTATATTAAGATATAATGTTATGTATGTATTTCATAAACGCCAACAACCCTAGAAGCTGAGACGTACTTATTTGTAAAGAATAAATTATAATATATATTATTATATTCATTGACATAAACACTATCCTATACTATCCTACTATTTTCTATCGATTTCATTAAAATTTTTAAAAAACATGTATTTCACTTGCAATGTATTTGATACAATTATATTATTGTATGACTTTATTTAAATACAAATAATATAATTTAATAATATGTAGTAATATACATAATAGTATTCACACAACAAGTGTTAAAATTTGACAAAGAGATAATGACAACATTTTTTTGTTGAGAGTTTTGAGGATTGGATATCAAATTTTAAAAGTTAAACATAATATGTTTTCGAGCTGTATTTTTGCGTCTGATATTTCAGACATATTATGTCAGATCAAACAAATTGTTGCTTTAATGTAATTAATTTTTTTCATGTTATAAAAAATATCGTACGACGTGAAGAAATAAAAACTCGCTAATGGAAAGTGGGCCTTGCGCTCGTGTAGGTCGAGTCGAGTGGGTCAATGTAATGGGTGTGTTAGATTTAAATTCAATGATTTAAAATCAATATATACCAAAAACGATTCTGAGCAGAGACGGTCTATCAGCCTATGTCAAGTACCTATATTTCATGATATGTTTTTGTGTATTTATAACTTATTTTACTATTAGTGTTACTGAAGGTTGATTTATTTTTGCCAAAAACTTTGAATTTTCTATAATAATTAATATTTCATTTTTTATTACCTATTCAATTTTGAATCAATACCACCTTACTTTAGAACAGTATTAATAGCTTCATGGTAGAAATAGGTAATGTCTTTAAATTAATATAAATACTTTGAAAATGTCAATTGAAATGGTATATACATAGTAGGTGGAAATGTAAAATGTGTTATATATTACGTTAAATATGTCTCAATGAATAATGTTTTTGAGTTGCAACGAAACAACTAACATTGTTATTTTTCGTTTAGACATCTAATTTTGTCAAAATTTGAACCTATTAAAACGTGAATATAATAAAAAAATGTTTAAATTTGAAAGATCGTTAGTTTACGAGTGAATATCCAAAGCCGAAAAAAATTGAAAGCTGATAGAAATTAATTTCATACTCCGGTAGTTTTTTTTTTTGTTGTTAAAGGTACCTAGTAACTAATAAAATACGAAATATTCCCACTCCTAGAATCCTAGAAATAGCTAAAAAAAAAAAAAGTAGAAATACTTTCAAAATTGTGTCTTGTATGGAAAATGATCACATTCACTTTTTTTGAAAATTTGAATAATCTACGATTTTTCGTTTTCGAATAACTACGAACAAATAAAACGGGTTTTGGGTAAAAATCACACTGAATTATTTTTTTCTTGACGCCTTTGAAAACAACTGAGATTGGAGTCAATGTATTTTGTTAATGTGTTTTTTGCAGTGTTATAAAGAATCGAGCCGGATTGTTGTTTTGGTTGAATTTGAATATTTTAATCAGGTCGTCTGATGCACTAGCCCAAGTCGTATGTGACAATAGTTGTAATATACTGAGTACTTTGTAAAGTAGCTATCTTTTAGAGATTTTTTCACGCGGTGACCACGTGAGCCTGGACTTGAATGTAACGCCTAATATTTGTATGTGTTTTTTTTATTGGTTATGTTTTTTTCATTTGATTTAATATTAGGTCCATCTATATTCGATTTTCTGGAAAAGATTACGTAGTTAGAGTTTAGTAACCAGTTTTTGCTGGCCGTTTTTCTAATTAATTCATTGTTTCGTGTAGGTGATTTTTTGGTGTTTTAATATTTTTACTTCTACAGGAGATATTGCCGTCATCAGCAAATATGTTGGCTTTTATCGGAAATGTATAGTGTTTGTCAATTTTGAGGATTGACGCTAGAAATAGTTTGACAGATAGTGCGGATCATTGCTGTACGAAATTTGCTCGTATGAAGTTGTCAGAAATTTGACTTTGTGTTGATTTTATTAGGAATAGTCTATTTTTTAGAAAACGTCTTATAAAATTTAGCATGTTGCCAGTGCATATAATATTGTAGTAAGTTTTAATAGAATATAGTGTCTCCCCGTGACGTCATAGGCTTTTGCTATGTCTATAGTAAGCCTACTATTTGTTTGTTTCGGATGACTTGATCAGATTCTTCTTTTATTTACTACAACTATCGTAAGTAAAACGATTTTTTCTAAAACCACTTTGATTCGAAGTTATGTAGTTAACCTTTTCTAGGAACCATTAAGTCTGAAATTTAAAATGTTTACTATAAATGTACACATTGTGTTAAACAATGTTATTGGCCGATATCCTTCAGTACTTATATGTGCTTTTCCCCGGCTTGTTAATAGGAATGACTATGCCTACAATTATTTTCGTTTATCACCTATTAAATAAAAAATATGTCCCTAGTCATAACTAAAAAACCATCGTATACAATAATTATTTTGAATAATAAAAAATAATATGTTAAAAATAATAGTTGTATTATTCTAATTTACGATTATTTAATACTGCAGGCCCTATGTTACACACTTACGTCAATGTTTAGGACGACCAAATACATTTTTTTAACATTATAGTGCTGGCAATATACAAAAATCATTTTCTCATAAAATGCCATGTTTAAATATAGCTTAAATTGGTTGGTAAAATTTGAGTTAAAAAGTTAAAAAATAAGTATATCTATAGATAGTACTGTAATAATATTATAATAGTTTTTGTTGCAGACTAATAGCGGCTTATAAACTATGTCGACAACTTTGAAAGGCACAAATAAATAACAAACAAGTTAATTGACGGAAACGACTGATTTATTTTGCAATGTCAATACGCATTATTATAATTAGAAACAAATTATAAAATTATGTACTGTTCGGGCTATGGCATTTTTGAGTTTGAGATTGATGTGGATTTCATGAATTAACAGTTCTGAAAAAAAAAAAAAAAAAAATTAAATAAAAAAAAAAAAAAAAAAAATAAAAGTAAAGAATCTGCGTAGAATAAAATAATAAATTATAAAATTGATTGGTTTATAACAAAATCATTTTAGTTATCATAAGTGAAAACATTTAAAAGGCACATTTTATTTTAATTACAAGTCCGTAGGTAGGTATTATATTACAAACAATTGTGAGACAAAAATACATTTTAAACCTGCATTAAAAGAAATGTGTCACTTTGACAAATGTTGAGAATTCCATAAGAGGAATACATATTTAATTTAGTGAGTTATGATTACAAAACATGTTATGATATAGGTCATCTTTACAAATTAACCTACATATTTTAATTTTACCAATAATGTGATATTGGAATTCTGAAGAAAAATATATGCATATAGCATATAAGTTGCTCAATAGTTAATTATGATAAAAAAATTAAAATATTGCATAAATTTGTACGAAAAACGGGAAACAATAATGTTGCACCTAATGAACTATTGAACTAACTATTTCATTCTTCGACTTTGCGAAAATAAAATTAATACACCGGCCCACGTATATTAATATAGAAACACGAAAATATGTAAAAAATATTAATTAGAATTCGAAAAAAAAGCATTCACTGTTAATCGAAATTTGATTCAAAAAATATGAAGTGATTTACAATCAGGCAACCTAAGTGTGTAAGTATAATATATTTACCGGTGAAATAAAAATACATATTTATAGACCTCAACGATTTATTATTATGTATTATGTAGTTGCTACAGCTGATAAAATGTTAATTTAAATAAATTTATTATTATTATTATTATAATTTAAATTTTAAAAAAAAATTGAATGTTGCTATGTTCAAAAAATGATTTATTTTATGTACTCACCATCAATTGGCTGGTGGCTGGGGTGGCTTTGGCGACCGATTTGATGGCCTTGGCAGATTGGACTTGTCCGACGACGACGATGTTCATGGTTACTTTTTCAGCGCCCATTTTTGGTTTTTGGTTTGGTTTTTGAGGAGTAAAGTGAAAACTGCAAATAGACAAGCAAAAATAAAAAATAAATTTTAAAAAACACGAATAATTTAAAATATTATAAAAACCACAGAAATATTATTTTCCGTAATATATTGATAGGTAGGTACTCACTGAAGATTAGATTTGCACGAAAATTGCGTTATGCCGAAACTAAGCACTGGTACGTTATTTTATACACCGGTGATTTTCGATAAATGTGGAGCGGCGTGGTGGCGTGATGTAACAAGTGGTCGCCGTTGGCTGTTGACCGATAGAGCGCTTAGTGGCGATTCGCGAGCCCCAACTATATCGTACGATGTCGAACACAATAATTGTAACTCTATTTGACTTTGAAAACAAAACTTTCTGATCGATTACTGTACGATTATAATGTGCTCTACTGCTCTGATACAATAATTTAATATTATAAAACGACCAGTTAAAATATCCAACTCTAAAATTAGAATTAGTTTATAAAAATATTATTGACAGTGAATGCGTATTATCAATGGAACCAAAGTAAAGATTATTATGATTTATGATCATACTTTACATTTTAAGACATAGTTTTATTAAAAAAAAAAAGATCCACTTACAATGCGAATACATAATAATGGTTGACGACACTAAAAGTCCACCATATGCACGATGCATGCGCATTGTATACACGGAGATTAACATGTTATATTATAAATCAATATGTTTTTAACATTGTTGTTATCATATAAATGAATACGATACAATATATCCATTTAACCACTCGGTGAATTAATCATTAAACGTATTATTTTATTTTATTTTTGTCTTTTTGTGTACAAGGTGATTTGCCAATCATTTCCACTTAATTTTATCCTTTAATAATAAATTTATTAAAATTAACATTTTTGGTAACTTAAGAAGGCACCTACTTATATTGAAAAACCAATGTTTCAAAAACTTAAATGTGTATGCTGTTTAAACAGTAGGCTGTGCTCACACTAACTCCCTTTTTTATTTTACATAATTAAAAACATTGTTTTTCGTTGATAAACAATTACAAGTTTGATCATTAAGTTTACTTAAACATTTAGAAGATCGATGACCATTGCATATTTGACCAATGCATAGTTATGGAAATTCACTTCACAAAGTAGGAATCTTTCGTCCTTTATTATTGAATGCAATATTATTGTACATCAATAAATCTTCTTATTCGTAGTATAAAAAATGTCATTAATTCAAATAAATTATTAGGTTGGTCTATGAGAAATTGATAACTAAACATATTTATACTACAGTCGAACTTGGTTATCTCGAACTTCTTTAATTCGAAATCGTCGATACCTCGAACTTTTACTCCGGTCCCTAGAATTTCCTATTTAAACAATGTAAAAAAATCTTGTTTAACTCGAATATTTTCGCGGATAACTCGAAGTTTTGAGTTTTATTAATATATATGTATTTGTATAAAATTTCCCTCATTTATACGATTAACTGTAAGATGTACTCAATCATCGGACGAAGAAGAGGAACAAGAATGTATCGAACCCTCCATTCCCAGAAGCATACGAGCACGGATGCATATTAATAAATTAAGGCGATTTATCGAAAATAAAGGAGAGGTCAGTAATGAAATTTTCGAAGCTTTGAATAAAATAGAACGATTCACTACAAACGCTGCAATCAACAGCATTACTCAAACAAAAATAAATACCTTCTTTTTTAAATAATTTTCTAACCTCATTTTTGTTTATATGTACATACATTACCTAGGTACCTTTCTTAAATTACATATACATACATACATATAAATACATAGTAACTAATTTTCATTGCACATTACATATTTTATTTATAATAAACACAGGAATTAATATACAGTAATTTAAAATTTTTTTTAGGATAACTCGAATTCTTGGATAACTCTAACTCTTTTACACCGGTCCTTTCAACTTCGAGTTAACCAAGTTCGACTGTATTTGGCAATTCAATAACATTTATTTTTTAATCCATTTATTGATAATGATCTAAAGCTCAAATTTTGGGACCACTTTCACCATAGTATTTACCATTTTTAATATAAGTGGCTATAAAATATTGTTTCAACATTGTGACATTGAACCAAGGTATAAATTCCCCTTTTCGGTACAAATCGACTCTTGAAATCACTAAATAATGAAAAATACTATATTTTATATTACTATATTACTTAATTTCACAGTTGGTTATACTATTTTTGTTATTTTTTTAGGCAGAATACAACAAAAATGTCTGGGAATAACATAAATCTAACGATTTTGGTACAACAAACATGTCTGTCATACATATCATATCGAAGTTCTTGACATATTTTTCTAAATGTATGGTACCCACAACTACTTAAAGGCACAGATAATAATTTAATGAAAAATTATAGCTGTAGTTAAGCTAATAATATACAAATAAGCACAATTATTTGATAAACATGTAAGTTTACGTAAAAAAAATGTATAAACATAATGCTTAAGAATCAAAATTTTGTATTTTTCCAAATTCTATTAATTTTTTTTTGTACTTCGGCGTGTTGGGTTCAATTTAATTTTCTAATTTTAATTTTAATTGATAGTTCTGAAAATTATTTATTTTATGTACCAAGGTAGAACTACATATTTTGTAGTTCGACAATTTTAATCTCACAAATTCTGGGGAATCGTATAGCTGGGTGTCTGTGTATATGATATGATTATTGATTTGTAAATAAACAACCATCGCAATGCCTATTACAATGACCGATCACGCCATCGCCCCCCCCCCCTCCCCACTTCCCCACTTATTCAGTCAGCGGGAGTGTATATAAAGGCGTGCGTGATCTCGGTTAAAGCATAACACATTTTTTGTGCAGATCTATTCTTTGGTGAGTACGAAACGATAGTAATTGTTATTTTATTTTATTTTGATTAATAATGATTTTTTTTCCATTTACAGTTTTCACTTTAATCCTCAAAAAACAACCAAAAACCAAAAATGGGCGCTGAAAAAGTAACCATGAACATCGTCGTCGTAGGACAAGTCCAATCTGCCAAGGCCATCAAGACCGTCGCCAAGGCCTCCCCAGCCACCAACCAATTGATGGTGAGTACTTACATATAACATTTTTCATACAACCTTAAAGGGTAATTTGATAGGTTTTGTACAATTTAATTGTTAATTCATAATATGATGTTTGGAAATATGATCACCACAACTTTTTCTATAAACATTCAACATTTTTTGTTTGAGTTTGTGAAGTTGAATAACAGTAAATGTTTTCGAAATTATTAATATTTGTACTTATTACGTTTAAATAAAAACAATCATTAAACTTTTAATTACCTTTTTTCAAAGATACTTCAGATCATTATTTATTGGCTAATAATATATACCCGTGTTTAGAATATTTATATTTGAAAGTAAAATTAATACATTTTATATGAATAACACAATTATAAACGATGTCTTTAAATTATTGGTTCCTTAATTTTTTAGCAAAATATTACATTAATGATATATTATTTCAATATTTTTTATTCAAACATTAATTTTAATTGGCTCTTTATTTATTTATTTTTTGTTTCGTAACCTGTTTTTTATTAAACTTTAAAACATAATAACAGTTGTTTTGAATGTCTTAGTGTACATATTTTAATTAATGATCAGTAATATTTATTTTTATTTTTTGTTTTGTTTCAGAACTGTTAAATCATGTAATCCATACATTGCAAAACCCAAAAATGCCATAGCCCAAACAGTATAATAATATGTAATTCATATTATATTGACACCGCAAAATAAATCAGTAATTTCCGATGAATTTAACTGTTTTGTGTATTTTTTTTATATTTACCTGTTCCATTGTCAGATCAGATCCTTAGTTTTTTAATCACTAGGTGGTGTCATGGATTAAATAATTTATTTTAAAAACCTAGTAAAGTTTTGCACCGTGTTAATATGACAATGTGTACATCTGTTACAAATACCAATGATTATAACCTAAGTATACTCTAAGATATCACCCGAAATTGTAATACAATATTATTAAAGATTGATGGGTACAATAATTGTATAATAATCATCAACCAAAAAGGGTTTATATCGTTGATATAAGTTTTAAGTCTCTTCAGGTTTGTCTTAAGTACGTTCAACCAAGATGTTGCCATTATAATTTTAAGACTTCAACTATTATTTGTTGACTGTAATCGGAGTAATCAGACAATTTACACTTCGCAGATAGTGTATTCGGTTATTGACCTAGTGAACACTTGTTGAGTGTTTACTATCAACAACAATATAAAAGTAGAATAATATTGAATCGATATTGTAATGGTGTGGAACACCATTGCAGTTTTCATATTTTTATAATTATAATTATTATATTATATACTATACATATATCATAGACGTGCATGTCATCTTTCATTCGTTCTGTAATATCAGGGGGTAAAGCTATATATGGGCATAACTATTTTGTGTATGCTTGCTGCCAGGTCATCGGTAAAGTAAAATAATTTATATTACATTTTGTTTTACATTTTAAATATACGTTAATTTGTACTCGGTATAACTATCCGTCTTGTCGAACATCCAAATCCTCTCACATTCCCCCGTTTGATACAGATCTATCACTACGGATACACAATTACACACCGTATACCAGCAGTGATAAACAATAATTTAATTGTTATCACGTAACAATGTCTAACGGACCTTTATTATGCCATCATAAACGTTAAAATAACACAAAACATTATAATATTATGTATTGGGATGAACATTACGTCAGATATTGTTGTTTATTGTTGAATAAAACTGAAGTAGACAAGCCAAATACAACCATTAATAAATATTTAATAAATCATTTGAATTTCATTTTTTTCTAAACCAATAATATTATAATAGTTATTATTTTTATTTTTAGAGAGTCGTGTTTAGTTGAGGTTGATTATTTGAGCTTGTGTTTTATTCAAAGGTTAAATATAGTATTATTCTTTGATACATACAACATTGGAAACACACCAAATAATAAATTTAGGTTGAAACGTATTAAAATATTCTTTCAACATATTAATTTGCATGATGGGTACGTCATCAACCAACAGTATTCTAGAACTGTGTCACAATAGTAACTGATTTTAATAATAAAACTTATCTAGATTAGAGTTTTTTTAGATAACAGTTTTTTCAGAAATATTATAATATTTTAATTAGTGTGTAAATAATAAAGACCAATACAAAATTAAAAAATACACTATTGTATAATATTTATACTTGTGCTACGTGATAAATATATAGTAGAACATTCAATTATATCCATTGACAGTAAACTCATTTAAAAACATTTTTTGTCTATGGATGGCAAATTTTATAAATTAAATAAGAGCGAAAAACATTCTATCAGAAAAAAATTATAAAACATAACATTATAGGTATTATGTAATGTTTAGATAAGAATGCATTACTCTAATCTAGAACACAAAAAAAAAAGTTCACTTAGCATTGAAATCTGTACCTCGTATATATTATTTGATTGAAGTAGGTGTGTACTCGTGTCTTGTTGACAGTTGTTTAATTTATAAAATTAGGTCAGGTAAAATGATAGAACTTTTATAGTAAAAAAAAAAATATAACAATATTAAATATAAATAAATTTTAGTTATTTTACTAAATATATGTGCAATTATTCAGAAATATATATTTCCCATATGTATGTGTTGAAAGTATGAGTTGAAATCTATTAAAACTAGTTCAAGATTTTTACCAAACCAAATTATAGGCACCATATGTAACAAATAGTCCTGTGAAATTAAATAACTTTTTAAAAATAGTCTTTTTGGAAATTTCCTGAAATAAGTATATTTCTTAAATTATATTTTATCCGTATTATTTTCATAATACAATTGCTGACATATGTTTGACTAGTATCATTTTTTATCTTTATTTGTCAGGTCTTTCTCTTACACCATGTATGCAGAAAAATATCTACCAAACAGTTTGTACAAAGATAATATGATGAATAATCATACGTGGCAGGTTCGTAGCTAATGATTGTCAACGAACAAGTAAAAATATTTTATTAACATACCGATGATAATAAAACTATAGTTAATTAGAAAAACGCATAAAAACGTATACAGCTCAAAATCAAATATTTTGCAAGTTTTGCTGATCTTGTGTTGTACGTGCATTGTTTACAATAAACACATTTTGTTTATAATTTATTTTGAGAAATAATCCTGATGATTATTCAAATAAATACTTACCGTAGTTGAACTACATTCGAAATTAAAAAATCGGGTGTGTAACTCTCTGCTGTACAATATGTGTGTAGAGAAGTCGCGGTAATTGATGTGTTAAATTTGAATCCAACGAAAGAAAATCATGGGTATACGAAAAGTAATTCTGAGTAAAGACAGTCTTTAATATTACAAGTATATTTGTATATTTTATAATATTATTGTGATTGAAGTAATTGATTTTACAATCAAGCATTAGTACTAGTACGGCGTACTACGGTATGTTAAATTTATTTTTGCCCAACAAAATTTTAATTTTAAAGTATCATTCTGTGTATAAAATAATGTAATTTACGTTAAAAGATTCAACAAATAATATTTTCAAACCTCAACACAAATAACCAAAATCGTTATTCATTGTTTAAATATTAAATTTCGTTCAAAATTAAATTTACCATGTTTGTAAAAAATACTGTGTTTACATATTTCTCAGATTTTTTGGTTACAATACAAGCTGTCTATGGGAATACTTGTTTTAAATTTTCAATCTTAAACCATATAAATTGAATATTTTAAACATTTTCAACTACGAAATGATTTGCATAATTTCAATTCGAACAATTTTGTCAACATTCGAACTTAAAAAAAAAAAAATCGTGCCTGTATAAATATAAACTGCTGTAGATGTGCAAATAAATACAACCGAGGTAGATATTTAGAACAACAATTTTAATTTTTCCCACTGGTACTACCAATGATTATAAATATATTAAAAATATTATGTATTATAATCAATGGCGCTACCTATTTATTTACCTATTCCATTCAATGGCCTCATTTAAATTTCGTAAAAATTATCAAAAAATACCTCATAAAAACCATTGTTGTGTATGCTTAAATATAACTTAGTAGGAGTGTGCTATAATTTTAGTTAAACGAACCAAATATATATGTATGTAGCAAATTTACAATAAGTATAAAAATTACAGCACGCTAACACATATTTTAAATCCCATTAAAATTTTTAAAAATCTTATTAAGAATGACTTAGAATAGTATAAATAAATAATAAACAAGTTTTTTGACGGAAATGACTGATTTATTTTGTAATGGCAGAACACATTTTTATAATAAATTTGAAACAAATTATAAAATTATGTACTGTTTGGGCTATGGCATTTTTGAGTTTGAGATTGATGTGGAATTCATGAATTAACAGTTCTGGAACAAAACAAAAAAAAAATAGTCAATATTAATACAATGTACTTTAATATAAGAATAAAAAATATCAGTAGTGTACTGGTATAAAACAATAATCGCGGGTAAAAAAGTCGTTATAGCTCATTGTATGCAAACAAATTTGGTACTTTTAACCTGTATAGTAAGATAAAAGTTACGTATTATAAAATTGATTGTATAAACATCACTGTAAACTTTGAACATTTACAAAGTATGCTCTAGACATTTTCGGGAATTTCATATTGATAGAAAAATGTTGTTGGTAGATTATTATTATATAACTACAACAAAGTCATTAAATTGTATGTGTTATTATGATACAAACAAAACCATAATAATTCGTATTAATTGTTCAACTTATATTTGTAATTTATTTAAATAAAACCAATCCTAATTAAATTTGTGTAAAATAATGTAACAATAAACAATTGAAATAAAATGTATACCTAGTTATGATTATTGAACTTTAATAAAATCAATATATTGTATTTATTTTTATTGTGCTTGCTAAAGCAAAAATAATCATACTTAATGATCGCCTTATCAAAATGTTACCAGTCTTCATGTGTGGATACACAATAAGAAATGAAAATCGAAACAAAATAATAATGCAAATTGGAAGAAAAATACAATTACACGATTTTTATTCGAAATGAAAAAATCCCATAATTTTCAACTCACCATCAATTGGCTGGTGGCTGGGGTGGCTTTGGCGACCGATTTGATGGCCTTGGCAGATTGGACTTGTCCGACGACAACGATGTTCATGGTTACTTTTTCAGCGCCCATTTTTGGTTTTTGGTTGGTTTTTGAGGATTAAAGTGGAAACTGTAAATGGAAAAAAAAATTATAAAATATAAAATATAAAATATGAACAAGTAATTTAAAAAAAACATCGAAGAAATATTATTTCTGGTAAATACTCACTGAAGATTGTAATTGCACAAAAATTGCGTTATGCCGGAATGAAGCATCAACACGTCCTTTTATACAGCGGCGGCTTTCGCTTAATGGCGTTGTGGCGTGATCAGAACTCTTACAGGTGATTCGTGAAACTGATATCGTACGTCGGACGATGTCCTGATAATAGATTTCAATATTTTACTTTAAAACATGTCTATGGAGAATTTCATATACACAATTATATACAATTATAAGACAAAACCATCCACTTAAATGTAATTCTACTAAATAGCCTATAAATAGAATTGATCATTAAGTACTTATCTTATTTTCCAATTTTGGTTAATGCCGTAGGAGCCAGTTCGTTTTTTTTTATTTCAAAAATATGACTTAAGAGAAGAACACTCAAACCTTGTCCAATGTAGAACAGACGGATTTTGTTGGTTTGTTTTTTTTATCTAAATTGTAATTATAGAAGTTAGAATATGCGTTTGAATAATGCACAGTATTTGTTATTTTCAAACGTATTTTCCTAGCACCAGTAAAATTAAAAATCAGGATTTGGTTAGACTTATCCTATTATCTTTCAAATAAAAAAAAATATCGAATTCGTCATATCAATGAGGCGTGGGAGCTTTTCCTAAAAAGTCAATTTCACCCACTCCCCTATATAGGTGTAAGGCAATATGAATTAATAGAAAAGTTGACTTAAATCATAAAAAAAGTTTTATTCAACTATTAAAGTTGTTTTCTTAAAAAAATAGTTCACTAACAACTAATAATTATTATGTCACAATACAGAATATGAATGCATTATACTACTTAAACAGTAGAATGAAATCTGTATTTTCAATTTTTACAATAATGATTAGGTATGTATTTACTATTAAATAGTATAAACCCATACAACATTAAATTTTAATATTGTATGAGTTTATTCACTAAACACATCATTATTATTTTATTTTATTTTTGAAATTTTTAATAAGGGTAATTCATGCCTAATACCTATCTACATTTAAAGATTCAATATTTAAAAACGTAGATATTTTTACTATTTTAGTCATAAACTGTGTTCATATAAACTACTCGCTTTTTTTAATATAGACCACTATTTTGTATTTTAAATTAAAAAGTACATATTTTTTTTATATTTTAAGTGAAGTGATGAATTTATTGATTTTACAATAGTATATGTGTATGAGTGGGTTGTTTTTTTATGTCTATGTACATTGTACACCATATTCAGCTGAAATATTGCTTCTACTTTCAATTTCGTTATTTTTTCTCGTGGAAAAGTGAATCTAGTCGGTGAACTATGGTGGTTAAAATAGAAAATTACCAGTAATTGTCAAAAGCTACTGGAAAAATACAAAAAAAAAAATGAAGGAAAAACTGAAATTTTTACGCAAATATGTTTTGGGCCAAAATCGATTGAATTACTACTAATTGCTACTAATTAGCTACTCGAAAACAGTGGATATTTTTTAATTTTCCTCATATATTTAAAATCTATCGATTTTTCAAATTATTTTTACTCATTATGGGCTGTTTATTGTCTTGAGAAATGTTCAAAATTTTACATTTTTTTATTAATTATTGTTTGTAAATAACATTTCGTTCGGTCAAAAATTTGAGAATGTAATACAAAGTTCCTCATAAGTTGTTTTAATTGCAGTTGGAAGCCATTAAAAATAGATAGGCAAGAGTTCTTATCAGTTTTTAAGTTGAACATTTTGAAAAAATTCAGCAAAATCACAAACATTTGCAAATTATTTTATAGTTTAAATTTATAAAACTATAAAGTATTTAAGTTTCTGATGAGTAATTTAAATTGTAACAAAACATCTAAAAAATTTACAAAAATTTTTTTTTTATTGACATTTTAATTTCTTATTTACAAGGAATCAGATTTTTTGAAGAAGAATAACGATTTTAGAAATGTCGTATAATTTAAAAATATTTTTCTGGATATTTGAAACTTTTAATGTATGCTAATATGCTATTATAATTTATAATATTTTATATACAATAATGTATCCAGTGATTTTAATTGATCATATTTCCATGACTAACCAGTCGTTTAATTTCATTTGATGCATTGTAATAAACAATGATTTAAAGGCATAGATAATATAATGATTAATCAAGACTTGTAGATGGGAAGCTAATTGTCTACAAATAAATACAAATATTTTATGAAAATACGAATGGACATAAAAAAAAAATGTTTATAATGATAGTATAACCCATCAAAACGTACACAATTATTAATATTTTATTTTATAAGTTTTAATAATTCTAATATTATGCTGCACATGCATTGTTTACAGTGTACGAATTTTGGTTATAAATTGTTTTGAGAAATAATCCTGATTATAATATTCATCAATATTTACCATCGCAGTACTACATTCGCAATTAAAAATGTTATATTTGACACATATTGTGAATTTTGAAAGCCATGCACAATTTATGGTTTGATACGTGTACACTACGATATTTTGTAATTAAACAATCTTAGCAGTATTATCTCGATCACGCCACGCTGCCGCCGCCGCCCCACTTAACACTTGTTGATGGAAGTGTATATAAAGGCGTCCGAGATCTTGATTCCGGCATAACACATCTTTTTGTGATCTATTCTTTGGTGAGTACGAAACGACAGTAATATTTTACTATATTATTAGTATTATACTATTTCGATTTCAAATTACTAAATTTTTTTTTTTTAATTTACAGTTTTCACTTTAATCCTCAAAAACCAACCAAAAACCAAAAATGGGCGCTGAAAAAGTAACCATGAACATCGTTGTCGTTGGACAAGTCCAATCTGCCAAGGCCATCAAATCGGTCGCCAAAGCCACCCCAGCCACCAGCCAATTGATGGTGAGTTAAATAGATTATAGATTTCGTTAAATTTTAAAATCAAAACATGTTTGAAAAAATGAACACAACAATTTATCCCAACTATAAAAATATAACATATTTCATCTAAAGAATCGAATGACTTAAGTTGTTTGACGATTATTATTATTAATACTAATGAATTGATTAAATTTGCATAGACAACAATAAACTTAACTTAAAAAAAAAAATGTTTCTCCTTAAAATCTCGTTTCAATATCAAAAATCATCGATTTATTTTATAACAACATAAAACTATTAAGTACCTATTTATATATTTAATGATAAAACGAATCAATTTAATATGAATTACGTGATCTTGAATTATTACTTAAATTTTTGTACGTACTTCGTTAAATTTTATAAACAATATTAAATTAACAAAACCTAATCAAAACATTAATTTTAATTATAAATGGTTTCGTAATAATAGAAGATTGAGTATGAATTATTGTATTAGGAAATTAAAAGAGATTCGTCATGTCAATTTTACACGATTATACTTGTTTATACTCTACAATAATATTATTTTATAACTGTAATTATTACTGATTATTGATTTTAATTATAACAATATCATATTATTGTATTATGCAGATGTGTATTAGGTAGTGCATTTATTTTTTTTTTTTCGTGGCACTCTAACACATTATTAATAATAGTAATTATTTGAAATGTTTAAATACGATTACTAATAACTTAAGTATTATTTACTCTATATTCATCATCGAAGAATACATTTTGATTTACATTTTTTTTTGTTTTGTTTCAGAACTGCTAATTTATGTAGTCCATACATTCCAAAACTCAAAAATGCCATAGTCCAAACAATACAATAATATGTAACTCATAATATCAGTATTGCCATCGCAAAATAAATCAGTCATTTCCGATGTACCAACACAATTTTTTGTTGTATTTTTTTAAACATTTTACCTTATTCATTGTCCATTGACCATCCGTGATTATAATATTATTTTAATCACTAGACGGTGTCATGATTCATACTATATTTTAGAAACCTATTATGTTAGTTTCATGAGCATGAACATCCGTGTAACGCGTACCAGTAATAACAAAGGTACTTGATAACACTTTACGATTTGATATCATAATATTATCAAAGCAAGTTTAAAAAAGCTTTTATAGATTAATGACAAATTTATAGTAATTTTAGATTTCACTAAAGTTATTTAACCAAAATGCGAACATTATAATGTAAAGTACTTCAGTTATTATTGATTGGTCGAAATCAGAGCACCTAGTCAAATATATTAACCTACTATTAACCTTTCGTAGCACCAATTTGATCACTGAGACTTGGTGAACTAATTGGGTACTTTTATATATTATAACAATTTAATAGTAGAATGATATACGATTAGTATTGGGCTGATATCCATAAGTATTGATTTTTGTATTGCAGTTCATTAAAATATTATAAATTATAAATATTTTGAGTAACATTAAGTCAGGTATTGTTAATTAGTGTTGGAATGTCGAAAAAAACATAATATTTTGATTTTTAGATTATTTAAAATCATATTTGTTGTATTTATAATAATTACTTTGTTTTTTAAAACATTGTTTTCGATTAATATTGATCGATTTAGTGTTGTATTTTGGTTTAAAGCCCTTCGCGAACACTAACAGTTTTTCATCAAAACGATCTGGGCTACAGACAACAATGATTAAGCTACTTCTAGACTCTAGCTGTTCGATTTAAAAAATGTAAAGACTTTTTTATTAGGTAAAGAAGGACAAAGGTTTGTTTTGTTGGATCATATACTCAATATTTTTAATTTAATATGTTAAATAGATGAGGTAATAATGTTTATTTCTTTGAATTTGATAAAATTTAAAAAGTGCTCAACTTGTCAATCAAACCTGATCTTGTTTCATCGAAACATTTTCACATTTTTTAAATCGAACCCACGGAAGTACTTACATTTTAGTTACGCATATAGCCATTTCACGTCCAGAAAATATTTGGGCTGTGGATATTTTGAACTAATGACTCAAGAAAAATGCATGTGCTTGTGCATAACATGTATATGATTCGGGTGATGGTTGGGGAATACACACACACTTATGATCATTAATTTGCTTCACACAAAAATACGAGCAGTGATCAAAAATAAGGAAAGTATTGCCTAATCACAACTCCTTAAAACTGACAAGTTTTGCAAAAGGCCTTAAAAAATAAATTTTTGTCCTTTGAAACATAATATTACAATGTCGCTAACATGATTAAGCTGGGCATGTACTATACTAATACCTGTTTAACATAAACAATACATTTCTTATATTTCAACGAGGTACTTACTTTTCTTTGATGATTAAATTGTTCTAGATTTTTATTTTTTTGTTTGAATAAATATTATAATATCAAAATTAGTGTATAAAGAATAGGACGGGCTTCCAACTGAAATACCAAGTTATAGCCAGTTTTTGATTTGTTAATATTTATATAAATAAATAAAAAAATAAAAAATACAATAAATGTATTTTTGTAATATTATAACACATATTAAGTGAAATATTAATTTATATTTGAGTGTATTATAATCTATAATCTCTAAATAAATACTAGCTTATTACTAAAAGAAAATATTGATAATTAAAACAAATATTAAATAATATTTATATAATATGTATTTATTCGTTTCTACAGCTGGTATTTATAACTTGAGTGTTTTCACCACCATCACGATTTCCCTCCATTTTTTTCTGCCTTGGACATTACTATCGTCATCCGTTCTTGCACTCCTGATTTCATGAAATCCTCTTCTAACTTATCTATTCATTTCTTTCTCGATCTCCGCCTCGGATCTTCTCAGTAGGTTTCCATTCCAGAACTGAGAGCATCCTCCTGGTTTTATGCAATGACTAAAGGACTAAAGACCCAAGTCACTAAGTACATTGGACACTTGTCAAGCTGGCAATAGGTGCCGGACCTACTTCTTCTTCCAGCTCCCCTTGTTCCTCAATGCTCCAGTTTTTCGTTTTGTTATTATATAAGGGGCCACAGAGAGCTCTCCATGTTCCATTCTCAAATGGTCCTAATATTCTCTCTGCATTGCTAGTAGTTGTCCAAGCTTAGCACCCATAAATGATTATGGGTCTTAACATCGTAGTGTATAACATTATTTTTAGTTTTTTTTGTGAGACTAGGTATTCAATTTTGTATGTTATCAAAAATAATATGATATTGTGAAAGTTATAATTAAAATACGGAACTCCCTAAAGTATTTATGATATTTTTAACAAGTAAAATAAACAATTATAAATCTTAACGTATTAATATGAACACGGGCTCTGATTTTATTTTGGTGATTTTGAATATGTTTTCAAATAATCCTAAGCTACCTGAGAAATCGGAAGACTATATATTTAGGATGAAAAAAAGATTTCTCCAACCAAATACTTATATAAATAAATCAAATGCTTCAAATAACTCAAACTATCATCGCACTAAAATGCATAATCTATGTTATGATTGACAAGTACATAACACAGTACCTGAGTCATAGTCTGTTGATCAGAATAACAAAAATTAGTTTTGTGAAGAAACAATGCAAATATTATGGGTTTCTTCTTTTCGTCAATATTGTGTAAATAACGTTTATCTTTACTGAGTTTATATTTTTTTATGTATAAATAAATATATATTCTGTACTTTGGACCACGGTCGGTTTTAAAAATAAATTAAAATGTGACTACAAAAAGTAGAACAAGTAAATATACAACTACAACTACAAACTACAATTGTACTATTAATTCGTCAAATTAATATCAATAAATTAAAAACGGTGTTATGAACATAAAATGGCACAAATAAATAACAGAAAAGTTTTTAGGACGGAAGTGATTTATTTTGCAATGTCAACACACATTATTATAATTAAGTACAAAATTATAAAATCGTGTAATGTTTGGGCTATGGCATTTTTGAGCTTGAGATTGGTGTGTGCTTTGTGAATTAACAGTTCTGAAACAAGACAAAAAAAAAATCGATTAATACAATACATATACAATAAAAAATGTAATAAAACTCGGTTGATTAAAAAAATTGTGCCTAATAATGTGGTTATATTATCATTGTTATTATATGTTTTTTTTTAAATTTATCATATACCAACATAATACCTTAGCATCTAGTCCATTTATAGAAATACATTATACAACAATATTTGTTTATATTAAATTAAGTTTAAATATTTGGAATTGATTTTTAATTTTCGAATCATTACTTCCGTTATTAATTATTATTAGGTGTGCATATACAAGAAAATGATACAATTTTGAAGTAAAATATTGTACTACTATTAATCTTTAGTAAATAAAAGTGAAATATATTATAAATGCCAAATGAGAATGACAACATCATTGTTTATGACAGTACCATTATTTCTTATTATAATTTTATCAATTTTCTTAGTATTTAAAACCTCTTCGAGTTCTTACATCAAAGGATAAAAATATTTTAATAAGTTATGATTACACATTTTATGATATTCTACAGGTATTATTTTTAAAAATAGACTACAAACATTGTTGAACAAACAAAACAGAGACTTAAAAAAAAAACAATATAAACCAGCTTATGCGTATACAGAATATATACAAATAAGTTTGGTTCCAAATAATGAAATAATTATTGAAAATCGAACCATAATAATATAATATGCACTCACCATCAATTGGCTGGTGGCTGGGGCGGCTTTGGCGACCGATTTGATGGCCTTGGCAGATTGGACTTGTCCGACGACAACGATGTTCATGGTTACTTTTTCAGCGCCCATTTTTGGTTTTTGGTTTGGTTTTTGAGGATTAGAATGAAATCTGCAAGTGGACAAAAAAATAATAGACATGGATCATTTCATATTTGCCTCTGAAATATATGACTAATCGAAATTTAATATTTGCATAAAAGAAAATATTATCGTTCGATTAGTGTATTATAATAGTATACTCACCGAAGATAAGATTTGCACAAAAATCGTGTTATGCCAGAACGAAGCACCTGTTGTCCTTTTATACACTGTGAATTTTCGATAAACTCTTAGCAGCGTGGTGGCGTGATTGTAGCAAGTGCTCTCTGTTGGTTGTTGACTGATAGAGCTCTTAGAAGCGATTCGTGATCCTAGATCGTACGTCGGACCTTTGCATGATATGGAATTTTACCTCAAATTTTACTTCAATATTTTACCGGTAGAAATTTTGAATGTTCCATCTTTTTTAGTTTTTTTTTTTTTGAAACGCAGATGCAAATTAATATATACTCGATCAAAAAGTGTCGAAACTTAATACTTACCTACACAATTCCTTATTGGTTGTTTACACTTTATTCAAAATAAGATGTGATCAAGTCCACAAAATATATATTTCACGAGCGCTTAAGTTTAAATTTTGAAGAGATTGAATATTGCCAAGTACAAATTAAAATTAAAAATTAAAAATAAAATATATTAGTTTCATTGATGTGACTTAAAATAAATTGATCATAGAAACTTGAAACACAGTATTAAATCACTGTTATTCGAATTATAATTTTCCACATTCATTATAATTCCATAGAAATTTTAAGCTTTTAAAAATCATTTGTAATTGTTGGTTTTTCTTAATTGATCATAAAAATGATTGTGTCTGACCAGAAAGTGTGAAAGTTGAATACAAGATTTCACGCAAGTTGTTTTCAGAGCAGTTTAAAAATAATTTAAATACTTATGCACTATTTTTTCATTTTCTTAAATAATATCAAGTATTTCCAAAATGTATGAAAATCACAAAAATGTGCAAATTATATTGTAGTCATTTTTTTTTACTTGAAACTTGAAAACGTACACTAGGTACACTCATAAGTAGTCTACACCAAAAACCAAAACCTAAAAAAAAATGTTACCTTTATTTTTTTTTTGTAGACATGTCTTAAAAATTAAAATGTTAACGAAATTTGGTAAACAATATTTATGTAATATTAAAATAATAATAAATAATAATAAAATAAAATGTAAATATAATCTAGCTGTTGAAGCCTTTATAAATAATATTTTTTAAAAAAATTAGTCCTTAAATAAATTCAAAAATATTAATACCATGTTAGTATATTATAATTTTGCTGTTACACATTAAGATTTTTTAATAGAAGTTTATAACACCTTTTTACCCCTGGTGTGTCCGTCGGTTAGTTACAAGAACATAGTAACGATTCATAAACATAATTATTATTAAGTTATGTAATACGGAGGTAAAGTTAAAAAAAAATACATTACATACATTTTTTTATTGACTTTTTAGTTTTAAATTTTGCAAAGTGGATATTTAAACAAACTATGACTATTTTAGTTATTTTTTTGTACCTAGTTGAAAATATTGGACAAGACTTTCAAGTTTTATGTATATTTGTATCTTCTATAAATATTTATGTAGATATACATTTAATGCTAGGTACATATATAAATGTATGTGTATTTGGATGAAGTTTATAGACACCAACTGGAACAAACGATTGCCAAATTGTGTACAAATACTTCTCGAGAATAGGGGAGTGTTTATTGCTCGGTTTTTCAACCCCTATAGCTCCCACACAACTTTTATTTCGACTCATAAAAATAGAATATGTTTTTTACACAATATGAGTAGGTTAGGTCATATTAATTTTTCTGTTTATTAATTAAATTGTACATCAAAATATATTTGACGCGTATTGACTCAAAAGCTATTAGAGTGCCATGAAAATACTCCAGCAATCATAATTATTAGACTCTACGTTGATCAGTCAGGCAGGAAACTTTCAAATATATAGATAATATTATACAGTGTCCAGATTTCTAAAAATTCTTGCTTTGAATGTAATCAATTCAAATATCAACTAGTATTAGTAAATTTACTTCTGCAAATAAAGTTGCTGCAGGATAAAAAGAACAACTGTTCACAGAATATGTTTATTTAATCAAATAGTTCTGTTTCAACAAATATCCAGATTACATTTTGAAACAACATATTTTACGAACAGAGTGATTTTTTGCATACTCACCAGCATACTATCATTTAATAATAAATTTGTTGGAATTATGAATTTTGGACAGTATGAGTATTGAGTAAATTTAGTTAAGGAGATTCAATACTGTGATTTTCTATCTTTGACTAACACAAGCATGACTTAGGATTTTAAACGTATTTTTGCCAAACGTATTACCAATTGATTATAAGAATTTTAAATACAGGTTTTCATTCATCATCAAGATTACCTGAGTTTAACTTTCCTACATTTTTAATGTTATTGCCTAAATTCCTAAAATTCAAATCTATCTTCGAAATTCTTATTACTTCTCTATGTCAACCGGCAAGTCTGGGAAAGAACACTTCTAAAATCCTAAGTCGCTTGTGTGTTAGATAAAGACAGAAAACCACGGTATCGAATCCCCTTATAATAATACTTTTATTACTTCGATTTTGTACATCGTTTGTCCTGTGGTGATACAAATTTTATTTTTAAATTATAATCATCTTCTGAACTGCAAATATTGTGAATCAGTTGACTTTTTAAAAAATTAATGTTCAAACGATTAATTAACGAGTTATTAAAATATAATAAGTATATAGACACCAAAAATAATTAATAAGACTTTAAAAAAAAGTATTACAAAATTATAAAGTGTTTAACCTATATAGGCTATTACTTGTTGTACTCAAAATACACTAAATGTGTGTGCTTATTGTCTATTTATATTGAACGTAGGTACTTAAAAATTATGAAAATCATAGTTTGAATAGGTTTATTATTAAAAGAATAAATTAATGTGATCATGATTGGCGAACTCGTACGCAAAAATAATTCTTCATATTTCATAAAATTTGAAAGCTAAACCCATTACACTTTTGATAATATGTCATACATGTTTGGTAAACAAATGCAATATTTCAATGATCACGCCATCCCCACCTTCCCACTTTCAGCCTGCCGACGAGAGCATATATAAGGCGTGCGTGATTTCGATTAAGGCATAACACATCATTTTGTGCAGATAAATTCTTTGGTGAGTACGAAACGGTAGTAAAAGTTTTATTCTGATTTCGAGTTAATAACGATTTTTTTCCACTTTCAGTTTTCACTTTAATCCACAAAACCAACCAACAAATCAAAAATGGGCGCAGAAAAGGTATCCATGAACATCGTCGTCGTCGGACAAGTCCAGTCTGCCAAGGCCATCAAATCGGTCGCCAAAGCCACCCCAGCCACCACCCAATTGATGGTGAGTACATAAATACTCTTTATACTACTAATATTAGTAAATATTACTAATATAAATTAAACTTTATCGTAGAAAACACAGAACATATTGTACATTTTTTTTTAAATTATTTTTTACACAATAAACGGTAAGCGAAGTATAAAAATAACAAATTTTTGTTTATGTGTTGGTATTTTAATTTTCATCAACTACGTACATATCCAATTAAAATTATAATAAATGTCATATGGACATTTTTTTCAGCTTCAATTTGTTGAACGTTTTTATTAATTTGTGTATATTTGTTTTGTTTCAGAACTGTTAATTTATGTAGTTCATCCGTCCATCGCAAACTCAAACATGTCATAGCCCAAATAATACAATATATTATTCAAATTGATATTGACAACATGAAATAAAACAGCCTCTTTCGAAATTTAACTATGATTTTTTTTTTTATACCTTGACATCATACATAGGTAGCTATTCCAAATTTATGATACCCATATCAGTGGGTAATTGTTTTACCAACAATAACTTAACAGTGTTATACCTAAATAATTATTTACTGTACAGAAAATATTAGGCACATATATTATTTTGAGATACAAAAATATTGTATGTTGTGGTGATGATTAACGGTAAAAATGATTAATTATCATAAATTATGATTGATTCAATAGCAAATTAATTTGACTAAACATAATACCATGCATAGTAAATGTAAAACTTGGCGTACTGAGACCATAGGGTAAATTTATTTCGCTCCAACTTGAAGTAACCAATTTTTTTCCATAATAAAACGTAACTAGCTTTGTACTTAACGGTTGTATTCAAATGATTGATTTTTCATTGAATATACTGATTTGTATGTTTGTTTTTTTTTTGTTATAGTACACGTTAGTAGAAACAAAGATCGAATAAAATCAAATCTGTTTTAAATACTTCAATTTTAGTAATAAGGTGGACCACACATTCATTTAGAAATGATAAAATAATGTTGTATGCACACAATTTAAATGGTATAATTTTTAATACCTACTTTATGTGTTACCGGAAATGTTGATAATTTTGTCTACGATGATAATCTCTGTGAAATGTTTGGGACTATTGAAACCTACGATGTAAACATGGGTCGTGGACAGTTGAAATCACAGTAGTTTAATTTTTCTACATATCTAATGTTATGACCGAATAATAATAATCATAATCAATAAAAATAAAATTGTAAAACGTATAAAAATATTATGTCCAATAACACATTATGATTTTGTAATAAAATATTTTATGTCCGATAACACAATAATATGATACTGTATGCGTATGACAAAAAAAAAAAAATTTATTGAAAAACAAAGATGTAGTAACTTTGCAACTGATATTAAATTCAATTACTTAAATTTAGATTGAATTCGACTCATATCTACTATTATCCTAAAGCCAGTACCAAATGGTCCCACGACTCGTGCGCTTGGTAAATATTCATGAACTGTTGTGTTTAATGACTCGTTTAGAGGTGTTTGATTGTAAAGTATGGCCAAATTTGGTTATTGCGAATGTGTTATTTATAAATATGCATTATTGTATTAATCAAATTGATAAAACAAATTTTAAATGGTTGATTATTTATTAGGGCAATATTGGATGATTACGTATGATGCAAGTAATATTTAAATTACACGAATTCACTTAAAATATCTAGACAAATCCAATTAAACTAACTGTTTGTATAGGGTTAAAATTCTAATTTAATCTTTTTTTAAATATTTAATTTTACTGTGTAATGTGTTTATATTCGTCCGATAGCATTAGAAAATGATGACTTTACGGGGTTATGTTATACCTAGTATCCTGCAATCACGGCTTAGATATATTATTATATAAATGTACTGCTACAATAGAGTTTTGAAAATTAGGCTTCAAATTCTAGTAATTGAGATGTTTTTGTGTCAGTCAGCACGTATGATATTTTACATGTGATATTTACTATGATATAAATTTTATATCATAAAAAATACCATATTTAATATTCAGTGCTAGAATTGTAATGTCAAAATCATTTCTAAAAAAAAATAAATGTATTTAGGTTAAAAACGTTTCTGTAACATAGTCAAATAATGACAAAGATCGTATTACTAAAAAAAAATCATCTAGCATTGAAATCTAACTTTTATTATTATTTATTTGTGGTAGGTATGCATTCGTGATTTGCTTACAGTTAATTAATTTGATGAGCTTAGTCCAGAAAAAGCATTGGCTTTTGTTGTAAATTACAACATTAATTGGTACTAACTAAGTTATTTTACTATATATATATAATATATATATATTATACATATAATTCAGAAATATTTAAATGTTCAATGAACATCAACTTCTCAGATATATACAAAAATATGATCATATCATCATAATATAATATTATTGCATGAAAAATTTTACTTTATGAAACGAGTTTAATATATTCTTGTCAAATCAAATATGTACTAAATACTTACAAGCATACAAATACTGCTTAAAATAAGATTGCTGTTTTTATCTTTCTTTATTAGAGTTCTTAATTAGGTGATATGGTCATATTATTTATTCTTAATAAATAAAGTCCATGATTATACTTATAACCAAGAAACATTTGATTGGAGAATATTTTATTAATAAACCTTGCATATTTTATTTTGTGTGAAAGCAGACATGCAAAATTGAAAGTTCAGGACAAAAATTTGTGTTTTTCCAAGACTACTCATTAATTATATTTAATGTCCATATAAAAACCATAGTCTTGTTTAAAATGTTTAAATATAGAATAAGAAGGTGGTATAATAATGTCGTTACTTAAACAATTATATCTGTGTAACGAAATTATTACGACAATCATAGTCTATAACAAATTATAGCACACAACTTAGTCTTCAGGACTACATTAAATAGTAAAATAGACATAAAAAAGGTTATAAGAACTTAGAATGACACTAATAAAATAAACAAGTTAATTGACGGAAGTTACTGATTTATTTTGCAATGTCAATACATGTAATTATTATAATTAGAAATAAATTATAAAATTAAGTACTGTTTGGGCTATGGCATTTTTGAGTTTGAGTTTGATGTGGTCTTGAATTAACAGTTCTGGAACAAAACAAACAATATTCGATTAATATAAAATACTAAAATATAAAAGTTTACAATATTTGTGGAATTAAACAACACAGTCCAACAAGGTTACAAAACGCGTTATAATATATACTTTAAAGATGCGTAAAAATTATTTTTAAAATCATATTTAAATATGAATACGTCGATTCAGAAAGTATTTTAAATAGCGTAGACAAGATTTCTGAAAAAAAACCACAGCTAAATGGGAGGTGAAAATTGGAAAATACCCCACCCTCTCAAAACCCTTTTCTAAGGTACCTAATAAAATATTTAACAATAAGGAACAATGAATATAATTTGAATTGATCAAAATTCACATTAAACACAACATGGAAGATGTGTTTCTTTTTATAGGTTTCAGATAAACTAGTTGTATCTATAATGCGTAGTGAACTAAACCCGTAGATGCCGCAGCGATAATGATTTCTCATAAATTAATAACGATAACATTTTAAACACAGACACACAGGGGAGCTGTGAAAATATAGCCCATTTCGTCTAGCCTACATATATATATATTATACATTATACATTATGTATTATATTATATAAACTACATAGTGTTGTCTCTATAAATAATAAGATAAGCTAAAATAAAGTATAAACATAGTCTTCAATCGCCATCGACCATTACGACCATATAAATATTACTATTTACTTTGCTATAAACAAACGAAAAAAAAATTATATTGGTGTTCAGTATAATGACAATATACTGTCAAAATTCAAGAGCTCCATAGATAATAATATGACAAAATATTACATTATAGTGCATACTACTGTAGCGAGCTGTGACTTTATTAAAATATTATAAATAATCTATTTAATTAAATTTAATCAATATTCTATTGCGCGTGGCCTCGAAACGTATATGTTCATAGATATATAACTACTCATATGAATATTATTTTAAAATAATATTCATAATAAATAATTCACAATGAAAAGTCGTGTTGCTTCTGTAGAGATGACAATGACGAATAAGCAAGGGACATCCGGCACGAGCAGCGCATCCGGCGCGTGCAGCGCGTGGCTGACCACGATATGACCTTATATGGTCATGTAGTAGGATTATAGGCAGGGATATGATCCAAGTATAGCCATTATAAAACGTCTCACGAATAGGCTTCGGCAGACGGACCAACAACACCGAGCTAGCCGGACTAACACCACCGAGCTAGACGGACCAGCAACACCGAGCTAGACGAACTAGGCGAACTAACATCAACGAAGAGCTAGGAGCTAGGACACTAAAGTCACATCTCGCTAGTCTTCATTATTTTAAATAGTCATTTGGACTTAGTAAATTTATTGTTTTTGTATTAATCAAATAAAAGTATTCAATTTATAAAGAAAAAGACAACTCTTCTTCATTTAATTTTCAACACCATCAAACCGAGCGTAGTCAGATTGTTACACTACATACTGTAAGCAACAACAAAAAATTAAGCTAATGGGGGGGGGGGGATCACTTCCTTGGATAGGCCACTGATTACGAATAATGCGTATAAAAAAGGTTATTTTTATAGAGTCAATCCTAATTACATTTGATAAGTAATGTAACAATAAAATATTGTACACAAAATTATACAAGTATTTATAATTAAAATATAATAAAAACAATACATTGTTTATATTTTTATGACACGCGATGCATAAAAAATGAATCTTAATAATTATTTAATTGTTTTAGCTTGTCAAAATTTAAATAAAAAAACCAATCTATGCAATGAACGCAAAATAGTTATTGCAAAATTGAGAAAAAATAACAACAAGAATTATTAGAAATAAATACTATATACCACTGTTATTCGAAATTAAAAATAATAAAATTATGCACTCACCATCAATTGGCTGGTGGCTGGGGTGGCTTTGGCGACCGATTTGATGGCCTTGGCAGATTGGACTTGTCCGACGACAACGATGTTCATGGTTACTTTTTCAGCGCCCATTTTTGGTTTTTTGTTTGGTTTTTGAGGATTAAAGTGAAATCTGCAAGTGAACAAAAAAAATATATTATAAAATGTGATAAAGTCAAATAAATAATATTTTCCGTTTGGCATATACTCACTAAAGATTATGTTTGCACAAAAATTGCGTTATGCTAGACTGAAGCATCAGTACGTCATTTTATACACAGGTGGCTTTCGCCTGACGTAGAGCACGGAGGAGTGGTGGCGTGATCAGAGCTCTTAATGATGATTCGTGTAACTGATATCGTACGTCGGACGACGTCAAATCTCACATTTTGCTTTGGAAACAGGCACGTCGAGTGTTGTGTGTTGGGTCAAATATAATTAAAATATATTAACACAAAAAAATGTATGGTTAATGTTGACCATTGCGAATTTCTTACATCCCAATTTTGGTCAGCGTTTACAACATATAAGTATTAACGTATAAATCATAAGAATTCTACTGAACTCTCGAAACATAGATTCCTTTACAAAATATTCTACTAAAAAAAAAAATGCTCGATAAGCCCAGGGATTGAAATAAATTTCAAAATTGGATTTTAAATATCGGTAAAAATCGTCCAAAATCATGTGATTTTGTCATCATTATTTAATGATGCTCAAATTTCATATTGAAATCAAAAAACATCAAACTGATCATTTATACCAAAATAATAATCGTTGTATAATTTGTATGCATAAATGAAGGTAAAATTTAAAAAAATTCGCAAGTGGGTAAAACTAAGTTCGGTTGGTTTCACTGTAATGGGTGTGTTAAATTTGAATTCAATTATAGGAATATCGTTGTATTCGAAAAGCAATGTTGCCATTAATGTAACTTATTTTAGTATAACGTTGGGTTTATGACTATTATTTCAATAATAGCCAGAACTATCGATTCTTAGATAACTGCTACGTTCCTTGCTTCTCGCCCCTTTCCGTTTCACCGTCCCTTCTGTTAGTTCCTCCTTGATCAGGTCGCCATCTCCGATTCTGATACACACACTTGGGCACACATACTCCGATCTACAGTTTGGGTTTCTAGTCCGTTTTGCCTGGCCGCTTGCCCGACCACAGAACGAACACGGTCGGCAGAATTTCCATTGCGTACATAATGTCATGCCTCCGTTGGTCCTCCAGCGGTAGCTGATCTTTAAACTCGTAATGCTGATCCTGATCCTTTCTCCACGTTTTCGGCTGCTGCAAGTTCCACTAAATGCCATATTTTATATTCATCGCCGTCGAGCTCATCCCCCCAATCCACCGACTGATACACTTTCGGCCGCATTACTGTATCACACCGAGGTAAGCCGTGGACGTAAAATCCCAACGAGAACTGGGTCCGGGTACCGCAAAGGTATCTTAGTATCTACAATTATCTACAGTTATTCGATTTTGAATCACAACAAAATAGGAAAATCACTACATGAGAAATCGAGTAGATATCCAATGTTGTAAATATTTCTACTTCAAACGCTCACAAAAATTTTATTTGACGTTTCATTAAACACCTTTTCTTTATTAAGGTATTCAAACTTAAAAGGAATCTCAACGTGTTCAGTTTTAAAATCTTAGATATAAAAAGAAAAATATTTATGAATTTCTAACTCAATATAATTTGCGATTTTTCATGATTCTTACGAAACTTGTCAATAGTCATAAAAAAAAAAAACACACTCATCATTGTGTAATCAATACATTCATTGCGCCTCTCAGAATCCAAAATTTGAACTCAATAATCACTTTATACGAAAAACGATGCTTAGAGAAGGCGGTCTGTAGTCTATAATCAGTTGTATGATATCATTGTGATTTAATATAATATACCTATATAACTAGGCATTATCACTAGAGAAAGTTAAATAAATTTTAGCCAATACAATTTAAAATAAATATCTAATTATGACCATATACTATAAAGTAATTTATTTTTACCATTGTAATTTACATGTCGTATGATCACTGAGTGTATTATTATTTCATCACATATTATTGTATAATTTTATTTTTGTAATTTGTATACACGTTTATTTACCAACTGTGTTCTACGATTTTTAATTTCCAACCTAACTGCCTATATTTAAAGATTACATTTCCAAATATTTGTAGTTTTGTACTATTTTAGTCGTAAACTGTGATCACATGAACTTCTTTATTTAAGAATCGAAATTGAGTATTTCACAAGATTAAGAACAATATAAAATACTATACACACTAATTGCCAAACTGTAAAATCAAAATGATCTATAAAAAAAAAAATTAATAAAAATGTACTCATCGTATTATTTTAACAACGTATGACAATTTTTTTAACTTGTATAATAATTAATTTTTTGGTGAGGTAACAATGTTGACAATCTATAGTATAATGTGTTTGAGTGGAACTACATTAAACATTTTAAAATGTTAATTTAGCAGCATGCGAATCCCGCAAGTTACATGCTACAGTACGTGCTTGGATATTTATTTAATGTTTTGTAAATAAACTACTGTCGTAATATTACTATGATCACACCACGCCACTGCCCCACTTTAAATCGGTCGGTGGCAGTGTATAAAAGGTTTCCGAGATCTCGATTCCGGCATAACACATCCTTTTGTGACGAACTATTCTTTGGTGAGTACGAAACGACAGTAACATTGTTTCATTTCGATATCAAATTTATAATATTTTTTTCCATTTACAGTTTTCACTTTAACCCTCAAAAACCAACCACCAAAAACCAAAAATGGGCGCAGAAAAAGTATCCATGAACATCGTCGTCGTCGGACAAGTCCAATCTGCCAAGGCCATCAAATCGGTCGCCAAAGCCACTCCAGCCACCAGCCAATTGATGGTGAGTTAAATAGATTAGACTTCGTTAATTTTAAAATCAAAATATGTTTGAAAATATAACCACAACAATTTATACCAACTCTAAAAATATGACATGTTAAATCTGACGAATTGGACGACTTAAGTTGTTTTACGTTTATGATTATTATCAATTAATTGATTAAATTTGCAAATAAAACAATAAAATAAACTGTTTAAAAACATTGTTCGCATATAAATCTTGTTCCAATAAAAAACAATTAGAATTGCAATTGCGTACAACGATTAAGTATTTCTATTTAATAGTTAAACTAATAAATTAAATTTGAATTACGTGATCACACAATTATCATTCAGATGTTATTTGAAGGTACCCTCATTTTGTTTACAAAATATTCAATTTATAATGATTAACTATATCAATAATTATTATAAGTGGTTTCATATTATTTTTTTTTTATTTTTTTATTAAAGAAAAAAGTCTCGATGACGTGACCATTGTTTTGCTTTACGTATAGGTAGTTACCTAAATAATTTAAATTTGTTTCGTATTAACTTGACATAATAATTGAATATTCAATAAGAAATTTTCTGCTTAGGAAGATTTATATAAGTATAATTAAACAACATTATTTTAATCGTATATGCTCTTCAATAATATTATCTTATAGTTTTACCTAGTTAATGTTCAGTGTTCTGTATAAATTCAGATTTATATTTATATTTTTTAATTTATCAACATTTTTTTCGTTGAACTATAAAATATTATAATAGTTGTTGGAAATGTATGAATACGAGTAGTATTATGCTCTCATAATATTTTTTACTGTACTTTAATGGTATTGAAATAAATTCAGGATAAATTATTTTTTTATTAATGGTAAGTTAAATAGATTAAAGACTTTGTTAAATTTTAAAATCTAAACTTGTTTGAAAATATAAACCAACTATAAAAATATGAAATATTTCATCAGACGAATTGAATGACTTAAGTTTTTTTACGATTAATATTAAAACGAATTTATTGATTAAATGTGCAAATAAAACTATAAAATCAATCTTTTAAAAACATTTTTTTGCATGAAAATCTAGTTTCAATAAAAAACAATTTAATTTGCAATTAAGTACAACGCTTAAGTATTTATATTTCATGGTTGAATTACTAAATTAAATTTGAAATACGTGATCACACAATTATCATTAAAAAATGATTTGTTTGCAAAATAATAAACAAATAATGATACACAATGTTAATTATCATTATAAACATTTTTATATTATATTATTTCACTTTTTATTTTTATTGGAGAAGAAAGTCTCGATGACATGACCATGTTCTTGTATTCAATAATGGTACCTAAATAATTTAAACTTGTTTCATATTAACTTGAAATAATAAAAGTATATTCAATTGGAACTTATCTTCTTAGGAACATTTATTAAAGTATGATTAAACAACATAATTTAAGTTGTTTATACTCTTCAATAATATTATGTAATAGTTTAACCATGTTAATGTTTAGTGTTGTGTATTATAAAAGTATACAGATTTATATTTTTGTATTTCTTGATATATTCATTGAAATTTAGAACATAATACTATTGTAAGAAATTAATTAATACGAATTATTTTTCAAAGGCAGCAACATATTATATAATATTATTCTCTCATAATAATTTTTAATCTATCACGCCATTAAAATAAATGTATGATCAATTATTTTATATTTTATTATTTTAATTTTTAACTTTATTTGATTGGTTCTATATTTTGTTTCCATGTCATGCTTATAATTTTATTGCACTGTTAAACATAATTATAGTTTGAAATGTTAGAGTACAAATTCCATTAATGATTAAGTTAATTTTTTTTTTTGTGTTGTTTCAGAACTGTTAATTCATGAAGTCCATACATTGCAAAACTCAAAAATGCCATAGCCCAAACAGTACAATAATATGTAATTCATATTTGTGTTGACACCTAAAAATAAATCAGTTGTTTCCGTTGCATATACATTTCTGTTTTGTTTATTTTTTTAATCTTTTATTGATTAACTGTCTATAAGACAGAATCATGACATCTTAATCACCTGGTGATGAAATGAATCACATAATTTATATTAAGTACTTTTTATTGTACTTTGTTAGTATGATCATGAATACTTCTGGAACAAGTACCAGTCAAAGGTATAAAAATAATGATAGTAATAATAATTTCATAAATGTTCTAATAATGTACATATACTCTAAAAAAAGATTTTATAAATGAATGAAAAATATATATTAATTTTGGATTTGCCTTAAGCGTGTTTAACCAAGAAGCTAATCACATTATAATTTAATGACTAAAGCAATCCATTATTACTTTTTTATAACTTTAAAATGAAATGATTATAAATCAATTCTCATCATTAAATCAAGTTAAATATTTTAAGTTGTAAATACTAAAATAATATTTAGAGCTACATCTAATAACACAAGTGCAACTTAAAAAATGTGTACTGGAACAATCAAATGCTTTATGCATACATTAAATGTTTTTTTGTAACAATAAATAAATTTTTAAATTATATTTATTTGAAAAAAAATGGCTGATTACACAATTTATTAACGCATTAACTATCAATAAACTTAATATATCTTTCTTTAATTTTATTCAATTTGAACAGAACTTGTATGACTAAATAAGCAACTGTTTTATTTAACAATGACAATAACTTTCTTAAATTAATCTCACATATTCCAAAAAGCATGAAACGAAAGGGTTCGTGAAATCTCCGTAGCATAAAAAACTTGATCTAAATAACAATAAAAACAGAAATTATAAATATGAATACAGTAGATAACATAGAATTCATGATTGACTAAATGCATTTCTACCTGACGTTTTATTCTAGGGTTTCTTTCAATGAATGACCGTTGGTGTAACACGAGACTCATCCGATTTATCTGTAATCAAAAAAAAAGTTTAAAATGAAAATAATACACTTAAGACATTGGAAAAGACATTGTCACTGAGTATAAATTTCCCATTTTTATTTATTTATCATTTTTATTTAAAAATAATATCAGTTTTTTATTAAGTGTATGGATTGAATATATAAGTGTTGAGTGTCAGTGTCATTTACTATCTGAAAACATTCTACAAGACTATAATAATTATGTTAAACACCTCTTTTTCCGTTGCATGACCAACTCCGTATAGTACAATGATATCAAAAACACATATTGATAGACCCATGGTTAGTGTTATTAGCTCTTCACCTTCGTATACTGGTACAGGAAAAAGTATATGATTATAAAATTCATAAAACAGTCTTCCAATGTTTGTCGCAATAATAGTCGATATGACCGGCAAACCATATATTGATCTATTGATAACGATCAAGCAATCGATAACTTCCAAATACATATCTCTCAGGGTACTGATTATTGAATGTCTTAACAGTATTTGTTCATTTATGATGTACACTATCCATCTGATGTATAATATTAGTAGTATGTATTCATAAAATGCAGCACATTCACACACCACTGAAACCAAATACATGGCCTAAAAAATTTTTAAACTATTTTATTTATTTAATATTCCAACTCGCTGTTAAGAAAAAACCCAGTGTTCTGAAAACATTTTAATAATTTGATTGTCTTTATATTTAATGTGCTTGATATATTTTCTAACCCCTAATAATGTCTAAAGATCATAGTTTCAAGATCTATAAAATATAAATTTACTTAAAATATTTTATATGTTGTTTATTACCATAGAACAAGCCGTGTTTGTTTTCCCGTACACGAACCAGCTAACAATAAAAAATTTGGCCACAATTATGTTACTTGCAATAAAATGTACAATAATTCCAGTAATAAAAAGCCAATTATTTTTTATTTTCAGTGGTCTGACCACATTCAGATGTATTAATTTTTCATGAATTTCTTCAAGTTTAGTCAATACCACTGATAGTCGATTATCAAAAAATATGCGCCATACTCTGGATACTATATTTCCAATATACATCATTTCCAAAAAAAACATCATTACTATTGAAGTTATGTCAAAAATGTCTGGATCAACTATTTTTGCCTGTTAAATACAATAACATATAAACAAAACTTATATTATATATTATTATAGTTAAATTGTGTCATATATGCATGCATTTAACATATTATAGATTAATATGGTCTTATTTATTTACTTATAAGTAATCTAATTTACATCGAAGAAAACAGATATAATATGACAATTGGTAGTCCATATATAATAACACAATTTAAAGAAAATACAGTTTATTTGATATAGATCTTTACAAACAACAAGTTGAATAAATTACAAATACATGCAAAAACTTGCTATCATAAATGAAAAACAATAGCTTTTTAAAATAAGTAGCCGATTTACATTTAATTTCAAATTTATAAATACAATGTAAATTTTTTTAAATTTAAGAAATATCAACATTTTAAGTATATCACAAAGAATTATTTGAAATCCAACCAAACGATTTCATTTTTACCTCGCAAGTTTTTAATTTATTTTGTCAAAAAAATCTGCATTACTGACTGCATTGAAATATTAATTCTGTAAAGTGTTATTTGTACCAAAAAATTTTAAAAATTATTCAACACGTTGTAAAGCGCAATTTTCGTTTGATTTTATATTTTATTGATGATCTGTTAGCCTGGGGAGTGGGGACTAATTTCTATCGCGATTTATTCAGAAATATTAAACGTAGGAACTAGCAAATGTCCAACATTACCTATATTTATTATTAATTTTTTTACACAACACATTTTTTTTTCGACTAAATGTAGGTTATTTTTTACTTTAATAATTTGCAATTAAGTACAACGCTTATGTATTTATATTTCATGGTTGAATTACTAAACTAAATTTGAAATACTTAATCACACAATTATCATTAATAAATGATTTGTTTGCAAAATAATAAACAATGATACACATTATTAATTATCAATATTAATTGTTAACAAAGTTGATGTTTAGTGTTTTGTATTCTAAAAGTATGCAGATTTATATTTTTGTATGAAATTATTCATTAATTAATTCGTTGAAATTTATAACATTATGTCATTGTTAGAAATTTATTAATACGAATTTTTCTTCATAGGTAGCAACATATTATACTAAATTATTCTCTCATAATACATTTTAATCTATTACGCCAGCAAAAGAAATGTATGATCAATTATTTTATATTTTATAATTTTAATTTTTAATTTTATTTGCTTGAATATATATTTTTTCAATTTTGCTTTTTTTTTATTGCATCGTAAAATATGATTATAGTTGTTTGAAATGTTTGAATACAAATTCTATAAATGATTAAGTTAATTTTATTTTTTCAGAACTGTTAATTCATGAAGTCCATACATTGCAAAACTCAAAAATGCCATAGCCCAAACAGTACAATAATATGTAATTCATATTTGTGTTGACACCTAAAAATAAATCAGTTGTTTCCGTTGCATATACATTTCTGTTTTGTTTATTTTTTTAATCTTTTATTGATTAACTGTCTATAAGACAGAATCATGACATCTTAATCACCTGGTGATGAAATGAATCACATAATTTATATTAAGTACTTTTTATTGTACTTTGTTAGTATGATCATGAATACTTCTGGAACAAGTACCAGTCAAAGGTATAAAAATAATGATAGTAATAATAATTTCATAAATGTTCTAATAATGTACATATACTCTAAAAAAAGATTTTATAAATGAATGAAAAATATATATTAATTTTGGATTTGCCTTAAGCGTGTTTAACCAAGAAGCTAATCACATTATAATTTAATGACTAAAGCAATCCATTATTACTTTTTTATAACTTTAAAATGAAATGATTATAAATCAATTCTCATCATTAAATCAAGTTAAATATTTTAAGTTGTAAATACTAAAATAATATTTAGAGCTACATCTAATAACACAAGTGCAACTTAAAAAATGTGTACTGGAACAATCAAATGCTTTATGCATACATTAAATGTTTTTTTGTAACAATAAATAAATTTTTAAATTATATTTATTTGAAAAAAAATGGCTGATTACACAATTTATTAACGCATTAACTATCAATAAACTTAATATATCTTTCTTTAATTTTATTCAATTTGAACAGAACTTGTATGACTAAATAAGCAACTGTTTTATTTAACAATGACAATAACTTTCTTAAATTAATCTCACATATTCCAAAAAGCATGAAACGAAAGGGTTCGTGAAATCTCCGTAGCATAAAAAACTTGATCTAAATAACAATAAAAACAGAAATTATAAATATGAATACAGTAGATAACATAGAATTCATGATTGACTAAATGCATTTCTACCTGACGTTTTATTCTAGGGTTTCTTTCAATGAATGACCGTTGGTGTAACACGAGACTCATCCGATTTATCTGTAATCAAAAAAAAAGTTTAAAATGAAAATAATACACTTAAGACATTGGAAAAGACATTGTCACTGAGTATAAATTTCCCATTTTTATTTATTTATCATTTTTATTTAAAAATAATATCAGTTTTTTATTAAGTGTATGGATTGAATATATAAGTGTTGAGTGTCAGTGTCATTTACTATCTGAAAACATTCTACAAGACTATAATAATTATGTTAAACACCTCTTTTTCCGTTGCATGACCAACTCCGTATAGTACAATGATATCAAAAACACATATTGATAGACCCATGGTTAGTGTTATTAGCTCTTCACCTTCGTATACTGGTACAGGAAAAAGTATATGATTATAAAATTCATAAAACAGTCTTCCAATGTTTGTCGCAATAATAGTCGATATGACCGGCAAACCATATATTGATCTATTGATAACGATCAAGCAATCGATAACTTCCAAATACATATCTCTCAGGGTACTGATTATTGAATGTCTTAACAGTATTTGTTCATTTATGATGTACACTATCCATCTGATGTATAATATTAGTAGTATGTATTCATAAAATGCAGCACATTCACACACCACTGAAACCAAATACATGGCCTAAAAAATTTTTAAACTATTTTATTTATTTAATATTCCAACTCGCTGTTAAGAAAAAACCCAGTGTTCTGAAAACATTTTAATAATTTGATTGTCTTTATATTTAATGTGCTTGATATATTTTCTAACCCCTAATAATGTCTAAAGATCATAGTTTCAAGATCTATAAAATATAAATTTACTTAAAATATTTTATATGTTGTTTATTACCATAGAACAAGCCGTGTTTGTTTTCCCGTACACGAACCAGCTAACAATAAAAAATTTGGCCACAATTATGTTACTTGCAATAAAATGTACAATAATTCCAGTAATAAAAAGCCAATTATTTTTTATTTTCAGTGGTCTGACCACATTCAGATGTATTAATTTTTCATGAATTTCTTCAAGTTTAGTCAATACCACTGATAGTCGATTATCAAAAAATATGCGCCATACTCTGGATACTATATTTCCAATATACATCATTTCCAAAAAAAACATCATTACTATTGAAGTTATGTCAAAAATGTCTGGATCAACTATTTTTGCCTGTTAAATACAATAACATATAAACAAAACTTATATTATATATTATTATAGTTAAATTGTGTCATATATGCATGCATTTAACATATTATAGATTAATATGGTCTTATTTATTTACTTATAAGTAATCTAATTTACATCGAAGAAAACAGATATAATATGACAATTGGTAGATCATATATAATAACACAATTTAAAGAAAATACAATTTATTTGATATAGATCTTTACAAACAACAAGCTGAATAAATTAAAAAATATAAATACATGCAAAAACTTGATATCATAAGAGAAAAAATAGCTTTTTAAAAGAAGTAGCCGAGTTACATTTAATTTCAAATTTAATAATACAATTAATATTTTTTTTTAATTCAAGAAATATCAGCGTTATAAGTATATCACAAAAAATTAATTGAAATCCAACCAAACGATTTCATTTTTATCTCTCATGTTTTTAATTTATTTTGTCAAAAAAAATCTGCATTACTGACTGCATTAAAATATTAATTGTGTAAAGTGTTATTTGTACCAAAACATTTTATAAATTATTCAACACGTTGAAAAGCGCAATTTTCGTTTGATTTTATATTATATTGATGATCTGTTAGCCTGGGGTATGGGGACTATTATTGCTATCGCGATTTATTCAGAAATATTAAACGTAGGAACTAGCAACTGTCCAACATTACCTAAGTTTATTATTAATTTGTTTACACAACACATTTTTTTTTCGACTGAATGTAAGTTATTTTTTACTATAATAATTTCTACACCTTTCCTTAGGATACGTGGGAATCATAAATAATAATAAAATAAAAAATGTTTTTTACCCATTGAATATTTGAGTGATACATGACATTGAGTCCAAAACAAATGGAAATGCATCGTAGTGTGTAAAACATCATCTTAAACTTTCCTTGATTGTAGCTAACACTGCCCCCACCGCAGGTTAAAAAAAACCAATTAAAGGCATTTAATATTGGTCGTACACTCATAATATTCGCTTATATTCTTTTTCAATTTCTTATAGTAAAGCAAACTTCAGTCCGTTTGTCTATTGTTTAAGATATTTTCGTGTTCAAATGCTATCCATATCAATCGAATGAAAACTATTTTTGAAAATGTACAGATATTCAAATAGAATTATTTAATATGACTATTTTATTTGAATATGTGTTACAATGTTATACCTTATGTGCTAAGAAAATTATAGGTATACATTTTAATATAATAATAATGTTCCTTTAATTTAATTTGCCAATATATTTTATTTGAGGAAGAAGATGGATAATGGCAACTTTGGTCCAAGACTTCCGAATACGTCATCAGATTATTTATTACCAATCCTTTGTGTATTTATGATGTGTCTTATTGAATTTGACTATTATTATGAACAATAACTGTGTAAGTGTATGCCAAAGACAACGGGTGAATTTATTTGTTTGGCACTAATTAAAATGGTTTAATACATTACAAACAAATAATTTGAGCATGGGAACGTCAACATGTTTACACAATCAAACGTTATTAATAAAAAAATTTATATTTCAAGTATTTGTCGTGACAGAATATTTACAAAAAAATTAAGCTGAACAGTTTAATTTCAATAAAAACAATTATTAACTTTTAATATTTAAATAGTTTTGAAAAGTTAGTTTTTACGTGTTTCGTAGAGTGTTGTCGGAAGAAACAGTAACCCAATTAACTAAAATATGTCTTCTATTATTTAGTTAATAAATAATGGGAGTAACAAAAAATATATATAAATTGTGAATTATTGAACAATATACATTCACATTTTGTCATTTAAAATTAAAATAATAATATATTAAAATAATTATTTTTGAGTACTATAATAAGCACATATTAAAGTTCCTACTTTTTTTTTCATTCATCTATTTAATCATCATAATATTCAATATAAATAATGTATTTGAGTATTTTGTTACCTACTTTTAAATTTAATATGATTGGCAACATAAACCAATATCATAAATATAATTAATGTCGTAGTATATACAGATATGTATAACTTTATTTCTTATTACTGAAGCCGGGTCGCATGAGCAATCACTTAAAGTGTAACATAATTATTTATTCTTTGTTCCAAAATAATTTTTTTTTTTTTCAAAATGTTTTGTTCCAAAATTACTACTTTTTTTGTTACAACATTTTTTTTCAAAATTTCTTGTTTTCAAAATTTTTTTTCCCAATTAATTATTATTTCTTTTTTTAAAAATTTGTTTTTCTAAAATAATCATTTTTGTTACAAAATTTTGTTTTGAACATTTATTTTTTCAATATTTTTTTCTAACATAATTATTTTTGTTTCTTTATAAAATAATTTTATTTCTTTTTTCAAAATTTCTTGTTGTCAAAAACTCTTCTTTTTTCAAAATTTTTTATCCAAAATAATTCAACTTCTTTTTTTCAAGTTTTTTTTTTCCAAAATAATTAAATATCTTCTTTTCAACATTTTTTTTCCACAATTTGAGATTTACTATTACCAATAGTGGGTCCTACTACATTTAAAACAGAGTACACTTCATCGTCCACATTACTGTATTGTTCGGTGAATGTCGTTAGCAATATGAGTGCTGCTGTTGCTTGCTTCATTGTAACACGAAACACATGCTCAGATGATGCTTCTTCGACGTCATCAACAACTTCAGTGCCACGAACGGAATCGGTTATATCATTGTCTGTCATAATACCAGAAATGGCAACATCATCGTCGATTTCAACAAAATCATCAATGGTTTCTTCCGCGATTCCATAACGACTTGCTATCATGCTCTGACATTATCTGTCATCCGTATCAGTATTTTCGATTATGGGTATCAATAATCGTAATCCTCGTCTTTCTCAGCTCACAAAGTCACATGGTACAAAGCAGTTCGCGATTGTTGACGCGATTGTTGATTTTATAAAAAAGGACAAATAATTATGTTAGAAAAAATATTGAAAAAATAAATGTTCAACACAAAATTTTGTAAAAAAAATGATTATTTTAGAAAAACAAATTTTTAAAAACAGAAATAATTATTAATTCTATTAATCTACTGTTCATTATTTATAATAATTCAGGGCCATTGACTCTATGCTGTATCGTTATTGCGTTCTAGAAAATCGAATATATGGCCCGAAGATTGCTGGATATTTAGACCCAAAATAATACATACACAACGCCCTGAATTTAAACACAAATGAGCAAAATTTGGCTTACAAGGTTGCCATCAATTTTCTTTGAGAGGGTTTAAAAAAGTAAAATTGTGTGTAAGATCAAAACATAAAATTTTTAGAAAAAAATTTGAAAAAAGAATTTGAAAAAAAAAAATTTGATACGAAAATTTGCAAAAAAAAAAAAGTAAGAGGTATTTGTGATTTCACCGAAAACATAATATCATCTACTGTTCTTTATTTATAATAATTTAGGGCCATTGACTATATGCTGCATCGCTATTGCGTTCTAGAGAATCGAATATGTGGCCCGATGGTTGCTGGATATTTAGGCCCAAAATAAAAAAAACCCATCAACCTTAATTATTTAATGACGAGCATATTTGGCATGCAAGGTTGTCATCAATTATCTCTGAGAGGATTTAAAAAATTAAAATTGTATGTAAGATCAAAACATAAATTTTGTTAAAAAAAAAATTTGAAAAAAAAAAAATTTTGATACGAAAATTTGCAAAAAAAAAAGTAAGAGGTATTTGTGATTTCACCGAAAACATATCATCTACTGTTCTTTATTTATAATAATTAAGGGATATTGACTGTATGCTGTATCGCTTTTGCGTTCTAGAGAATCGAATATGTGGCCCGATAGTTGCTGGATATTTAGCCCAAAATTTTTTTATTTACCCATCAACCGTAATTATTTAATGACGAGCAAATTTGGCATACAAGGTTGCCATCAATTATATTTGAGAAGAATTTAAAAAAGAAAAATTGTGTGTAAGATCAAAACAAAAAATTTTTTAAAAAAAAAATTTGAAAAAAAGAATTTGAAAAAAAAAATTTGATACGAAAATTTGCAAAAAAAAAAAGTAAGAGGTATTTGTAATTTCCAAAATAAAAAAAACCCATCAACCTTAATTATTTAATGACGAGCATATTTGGCATGCAAAGTTGTCATCAATTATCTCTGAGAGGATTTAAAAAAGAAAAATTGTGTGTAAGATCAAAACAAAAAATTGTTTAAAAAAAAAATTTAAAAAAAAAAAATTTTGATACGAAAATTTGCAAAAAAAAAAAAGTAAGATATATTTGTAATTTCACCGAAAACATATCTTCTACTGTTCATTATTTATAAGAATTCGGGGACATTGACTCTATGCTGTATATCGCTATTGCGTTCTAGAGAAGCGAATATATGGCCCGAAGATTGCTGGATATTTAGGCCCAAAATAAAAAATACACAAAAAATTTGAGAAGTGTTTCCATTCAATAGTGTCTGTGATAATTTCACCATAGCAGGTCTAGTTTTGGCAATTGGTAGGTTGTGTTGATCATAACTCGTAAGACTAGTAAGGAAAAAACAAAAGTAGGAAAGTATCCAAACTGTATATGATTTTTATATTTTTTATGTGGGTATTTGATAGTGATGCTAGTTTTTGATTTTAAACTTAATATAAAGTATGTAAATATTATATTGAATATTCCCTACCCAAAAAGATGAACAAAAGCAAATAATTACTGCTTTAAACAAAGTGTGGCAAGTGCACGTGCAGTGAGTGACATTTTATCCTATTAATATTGAATTCTTAAATATTTTGAGGTCCAAAATAACTATCTATTTTTCAAATTTTTTTTTTTTAAATAAATTTATTTTTAAATTTTAATTTTTCCAAGACTACTCGTTTACTATATTTAATGTCCATAAAATAAAAACCATAGTCTTGTTTAAAATGTTTAAATATAGAATAAGAAGGTGGTATAATATTGTCGTTACTTAAACAATTCTACCTGTGTAACGAAATTATAACGACAATCGTAGTCTATAACGAATTACAGCACACAACTTAGTCTTCAGGACTCCATTCAATAGTAACATAGACATAAAAAAAGGTTATAAGAACTTAGAACGACACTAATAAAATAAACAAGTTAATTGACGGAAGTTACTGATTTATTTTGCAATGTCAATACATATAATTATTATAATTAAAAAAAAAAAAAAAATTAAGTACTGTTTGGGCTATGGCATTTTTGAGTTTGAATTTGATGTGGTCTTGAATTAACAGTTCTGGAACAAAACAAACAATATTCGATTAATATAAAATACTAAAATATAAAAGTTTACAATATTTCGACGGTTACAAGGAAAAAGGGCGTAAACGACATTTTGGTCAAAAATGAGTTAAGAGTATTTTGGCGTAAACGCCACGATTCTTTATCGATAGAGCTAACGATTGTATCGATACGATTTTTTTACGAATAACTATCGATGTTTCAGTATTTAGCGTAACCGCCATTCGTTATCAGGCGTGTAGTTATTGTTGGGCGTAAACGACTTTGGGTAGGCGTAAGCGACTATTAAATAATATTCGATGTTGTAAACGACATTTTTCGTCTACACCCAATAATTCTGTTGCCAACATCAGATGTTAGATGCTAACATATGATAATGAATAATGATACGCATTTGTGCCATTTTCGGGCCGGTTGGCGGTTACAGTGGCTACATGTTCACTTCACATCATTCAAGATTTTAGTAAGTTTTACTACCTAATTATTACATAAATACAAGTATTATTTTTATATTATAATGGTCATCTTTATATTTACTATCAGCTTTCAATTTCGATAATATGTAAACCCACTTAATAATACTTGGTTCATACAATTACTGTTGAGTGCTGGCGCAAACTGCTGTGTAATCATCATAGTTTATTTTTGTCTTTATGGCTCATTATGTCGTACGCTTAGTATATTTTAAAATTAAGTTTCCCATTTTTATAATAATATTATTTTCTATTTTGT